ACATACATACATACATACATACATACATACATACATACATACATACATACATACATACATAAATTCTTGATTATTATTAATTAATTATTTTCCACTAAAAAATAAATTGAAAAACATTTGACCTCCATACCAAAACCTTCAAACATGGCCCTCTTCCTGGTGGAAAAGCTGCATTCACAGGCAATTTTTCTATGGGGCTATTGCTCATTATTCTATCGTTGGGCAATGTGTTGACAGTGGTGGACCTCTGACCACACCACTTATCTGGAGAGGATGTGCGCTCAGCTTTAACATCTCACAAAGTGTTTCCCTGTCATGGCTCTGCACAGCTGATATTTGTGAAATGGTGTCAGGACATCCTCTATTTTTTTTTAAATGCCAGAAACCAAAGAATCACCGTGTGATTTCAAGTAGCTATAACTTCCCCAAAAGCCACATGATACATGATGGTTAAAATTGTAGAAACAAATATTTGGACTCTTCATCTAATTGTCAGCTGAAGCTAGACAGAAATGGGTTGATTGTGAAGCAGAGATGACAGCAGGCATTTTTTCAATTTGGCACTGTTATTGATCTCTTTACATAAAATAAAGATTTCAGAGGATATCTCCACAAACCTGTGTGTAGTGTTGCAGGGCCCAGACCAGTCGAAAAGTGACGTGTTGAGCAGAAAACACAATGACACTCGCTGCAAGGGAACGTTTCTGCCGGGTCAGGAAGTAAACCATCTTCATCAAGCTATGGATAGCCTGAAATAATTGAAAAAACAAACAAACAAACAAAAAATCAACCATCAGAAAGCAAACCCAGAGTCTTTTTTTCCCCTCAGGATGACTGTATTCAAAGTTCAAGTACTTTATCTAGAACCTAGTTGATAATGGTATGTAACTGATCTTGGTCCATCTCTGATAGAGTGGCATCTGTATTCACTGAAGCAACCTTTTTTTAGCAGAATAAAACGGAATTATAAACAATTAATTGCTTTCAGTGTTGTTTTTACTGTCAATTATAAAAGCACTTTGGTCAGCTCCGTTTGTTGTAAAGTGCTATATGAATAAACATTGATTGATTGATTGATTGATTGATTGATTGATTGATTGATTGATTATAAATTCACTCCTTGAGTTATTTAATAATGTTGCATAAAAAGGAAGATTGTGAGGCTGACTCACTGTCATGGTGTAGGATCTGTTCCAGGACTTCACCAGATCTGCAGCCCGTTGATCCTGCCAGCTGATGAAGTTATGGAAAGGATCTCCGGTTTGCCTGTCAAAAAACAAACAAACAAAAACTCCTACCAAGCTTCAAACAGGTGTGCTCAAGCCATTCAGTGGTCAGGTTTTAATATCCACCTGTCCCAGGTTGTGAAGGTTGCTCGTTGAGTGGATATGCCAAGGGCCTCTATCTGGCTCATTTGTACTCCTGCATCTGCGTCACAAAAACAACACCAGGTTACCCTCATAGGCGTATTTACACATGACAACAGAGAAGCATTTTAAACCCAAACTGATTCCCATTAGCAGACAAGAAATACCACAAATTCAGATACAGTTACCCTATCTACCAAAAGAACTAGAATTGTATTACTTGTTTACAATTCTTTAATGTTATTTGCTGTCCTTCAAAACAAATCTCTAACTTTAGACATTTACATCGGCTGTTATCGGCAACAGAGTGCTTATTTCCCATGCAAATCCAATCCGGTCTAATCCCTTTGGCACAGTTGCAGACAGATGTGGTGCAGCTCTACCTTGCACAGCTCCATTGACCACAGCAGTAAAGCCTTTCCACAGTGAATCTGGGTCCATCTCCACATGCCCCACTTCTGGATACATGAGGACAACCTGAAAGAAAGTTTGAAAAAAAAAATAAGAACAACAATCTATAGATACATTCAGTGATTCCTGTAGGTGGGGTATTTAACACACTAAAAATTAGAATAGTGAATACCTTGTTGGTACATGATCCTCGGATTTTAGCCTCCTTGTCGTATACATGACATTTGATTGACGTTGTCCCAACATCCACCGAGAGAATAAAACTTTCCTTGTTAAAACCGTTCCTTCGGCTGCCCATTATACGTGTATATTTGCCTTTTTATTGCTGCGGTTTATCACAAGCCCTCCATGGCCAAGTCGCTCATATCCTGTTGAAAATCCAGAATGATGGTGTCGCCTGACAACTTAACTGGACAATGTGAGCTGTCGCGTTGAAGTTGTAACTCGACCCTTGGACTTCGTCTTCTTGGACGTCCAGTTCCAGGTTAACCTGTTGGAGTACACATATGTATTCAGTTTGTGGCCCATGGGGAACAAATGCAAATAAACGGCTAAATGAAAACACTTTAATAGTGCGTCTCAAACCTATGGAGCCAAATACATCAATAGGCACTGTGCTTACACTCTAGACTGGTGTAAGTTTGAAACCCGAATGTTAAGTGTGAGTTCACCAACTCTGAATAAAGTTTTAAGCTAAGTGGCTAGCTCTCAGAAGATGTTATTTAACCGGTTTATTGATAGAGACACTCCCAATAAACGAACACGATTAAACAATTCTTGCCACTATCTAATATCTGACACAAAATATTCGTTCTTACTGTTGAACCTCCAGTATATAGAAGAGGATTTTTTTAAAATTTGTAGTTATTAAATTAAAGTAAGGAACATATACGTTCCCACCTCGTGAGCATCCGTAGTATGCATACTGCGCATGTGTACTGGACAACCGTTGCATGTGGATGTTTTTAGCTGAGCACATGTGTGTTCACTGTTGGCGACTTTGTGTACCGGTTTAAATACATGAAATGGCAAAGACACGCGTAAGAACTGACTAAATTATTTTAGCATTACCAAGATTTTTATCGATTTAAGTTGATTTAATCAGCCGTTGTTTGGTGTTGTTGCAAACTAACAAGCTAACGTTTGGTTAGCTCATAGATAGTAGAGTTGATTATTGACTTATGATGTATTTACAATTTTACAAAAACATATCGGTTTTTATGTTGGTACCATATTATAACAACGATATAAGAAATTAAATTGTGACAACTTGTAAATTCACCTAATCAAAAGTTTCATGTTTACGTATTTGTTTATTTTTATTTGTTTACCTGCTATATTTGTATTTGCTGAACTCGTACTCAAAAATCACGTGTTTTTGCTCCACTAACTTCACCAACTTTCCCACTGGCAGTGTTAACAAGCCCTCGGAAACGCTTACGGATTGCTTCAATATTATATTTTTTTGCTAATATTTCCTGAATGTTCACATATTGTAGTCGTCCTCCTAACGTCATAAAAGTTGTGTGCTTGCAGAACAAATGCAAATTCATATGGTTTGTATGTTTCAGTCTACAAGGCTCAGCAAAAGGCAAAGTCTAACTGTGGGAGAAGAGGACAGGGTTAAGCATGGCAAGTCATTGTACATCAACAGCTGAGTATTCCAATTTAACTTGATTGTTTAAATGATCTGTGTTCGTAATTCTTCAGAGGATCAGGCTGAGACTGTCCCTGACAGTGAGCTGAAGAGTACAGAAGTGGAGATTAAAATGGAGGATAAGGGAGATAAACAAGGTACTGTCTGACAGTGTAAGATTTTATAACCTTACAGAAATTCTGAGCTGTGTGTTTAATGATGATACCCTCTTAGATCTTCAGATGAACATAGAAGTGAAAGGCAACACCCCCACAGTAACTGTGTCTTGGGAGGAGAAGAATATGGCAAAAGAGGGCGAGGAAATGAAAACAGAAGCTTGTGAAAATGATCAGATGATGGGCAGTGGTAAGGATGCTTATATGAGATCAGTGTTTTCTAAACTAATGGAATACTTTGAACAGTTAACATCTAGTAGGTCAACCTGAGCTCACGGAAAGAATACCTTTTTTGTTTTCTTTTTTCTAGAAAAACAGAGTCAGACCATCGCCTCAGCTGGTTCTGCTCAAGGTCCTGACGGTATTCCAGAGGCAGAAGTGAATCAAGGGGTGAAAGAAGGTGAGGGCAAACAAGGTGCTGCAAAACAGAACCTCCACTTCAATGTACATAAGATGTTTAAGTGTTGGTGCGTCTTTTTTAGAATCTCAGAACCTCACCCAGAGTACCCCAGCTGTAGCTACGCCCAGGAAGAGAAAACGTAAAAGAGGAAAGGGTGATGGTATCAAGAAGGAATCTAATGGAAATGAGAATATAGTGGGTAAGTACTTCCTGGCAAAGCAATCTGTTTTTTATTTTGACACCATGGATACAGAAAATTTATATGTTCTCTCAATGGGCGTGTGTGATGCTTACATGAGATCAATATTTTCTAAACTAAGGGAACACTTTCAACAGATAACATCTAGTGGGTCAACATCAGCTCACAGAAAGAGTTCTTTTTTTTTCTTTTTTCTAGAAAAACCGACGCCAACCTCAGCTGGTTCTGCTCAAGTTCCTGACAGTATTCCAGAGGCAGAAATGGATGGTGTAGAAGGTGAGGAACGTTGTACTTCAAAATAGCCCCTTCACGTCAATGTACATAAGATGTTTAACTTTTAGTGTTGGTGCGTCTTTTTTAGAATGTCAGAACCTCACCTTAAGTGAAGACAATGAAAGCACCCCAGCTGTAGCTGCGTCCAAGAAGAGAAAACGTAAAAGAGGAAAGGGTGATGGTATCAAGAAGGAATCTAATGAAAACGACGAGACAGTGGGTAAGTACTTCCCGACAGAGCAATCTGTTTTCATTTTGACTCCATAACTGCAGAAAATGTATATTTTCTCTGAATGGACTGTTTACAAACTACTGATATCTGCTGTCAGTTCACTCACCTTCAACACAGTGAATCTACTGTTTAAGTATGAGTGTGATTGAGCACCTGCAGAAACTTGGTGACTAGATAAAACGGTTCTGAAGTCTATGAATGAAAACTGCTCGCGACTGAATAACCTGAAATTCACATGTAATTTCATATTTAATTCCAAACAATATACTTTACTCACTGCAATCTGACATCCAAGGGCATTCTTGCCAATTAAAAACAAAGGTATTCTACCAACTCTGACTTAGCTTTGGGGCTTTCGTCACTTATTCTATTCATTACTGAGGGTAATTCTTCCGGTCAAATAGTGTGTAGATGATAAATTCTTTCTTAAACTTTTTTCTTTTATTAAATTGGAATATGTCGTGAGGGTAAGAAAAGATGGTTGAAAAAATGTTGCAAAAAGATTTTAGAAAACAACAAACAGCCATTCACTCAGTACTTTGGATACTTTAATTAATACCATCATATTGTTTTATATATAAGGGTATCTCAGATATGTCAGATAAACATTATAGCATGTTATATATGTATTGTTTTTATTTTTTAATCAAGTTTGGCAATTAGAAACATACATAGAAGTGAAAGCCTTCCCACAACCTATCCTTCTGTCCTCTAATTTGTCCAGTAAGATCATAGTCAGAACTACTTAAAAAAAGAAACAGTGTCAGTTTGAAAGTTGCTTTTGCAAAGAATTGCGGGATAGAATTATCTTCCTACATTTCATATGGAGTGGTCTAAGGTATGTATTTTAATGGCCATCACCCAGATATTTCTCTGTCACTTCACTGATGAACTGATTTATATTCGTCAAAGTGACTTTATGACCCCAATCAGGTGTTGAAGCCCCGTGTGAGAGTAGTTTCATGTTGAAAAATGTCACTCACAGACCTGATATGGCACACATGGATATGATATTGTTAGGAAAGCCAGGGGCAAATACAATGTTAGGTCAAACACAATGTACTCTGGGTAAAGATCTGGGTTTAACAGTCATTGCAAATAATACAATCTGAATAATGACGAGTGCTTAAAATTCACTTGACAGAAGTAGTGTCGTTGTAAGTAATTTTTCTGTCATGTCATTTTCTGTCATGTTCAGTGAATGGAAAACGGAAGGCAGAGCCCACCACCGAGACTTCGCCTACGAAGAAACCTAAGCTCATTAATGATGGTTTGAACTCTTATTATTACCTTTTACCAAACGAGACATTCCTATTTCACTGCCGCCTACTTACATTTACCTCTATTATCCCCATGCAGGATTCTGTGTTTATGTTGGAAAACTTAACTCTTCTAAAAAGTACGATGAAGTCAAAGATTCTTTAGCAAAATACTTAATGACACAAAGCCTTCTGTTTCAAGAAATCCGACTAGACCGATCAAGGTGAGCATGTTGTGATTTTTTTCAATGTTTTGTCCTGCAGTATGCATTCCACATGAAAGTTTTATTTATATCTTCTAAACTGTGAATTGTAGAAAACATGCATTTGTGGATTTGGCCTCGGAAATGGACCTGACTAAAGCTTTGACACTCAATGGAGAGACAGTCCTTGATAAGCCAATGGTGATCGCCAAAGCAAAGGTAAAAATTGAGGGGGAAGAGAAGGTTAAAGGTCCCCCAATGGAAAAAAAAGGTAAATACTAAGCGACTAATTACTTAACATTCAAATTTGATGATTAACATGCTAATTCAGAAACCGAATGCAAAGAGTAGGAGAGGGTTATTTCAGGACTGTTCTTGTTTGTATTTTGTTTCTTAAGACAAAGATGCCAGATGTCTGTTCCTAAAAAACATTCCTTACAATGCAACAAAAGAAGACATCTTGAAAAGCTTCCCTAAAGCAGTCACTGTTCGGTTTCCTGGCGGAACTAAGGGCCAAGCCAAGGGTGAGGGTTTGCTCTGTGAATTATACTTAACTGCTATATAATTAAATGCATCCTTTAATCTGTGCTTTAAATAAAAAAATTAATGTTTTTTTTTTTTTTACAGGATTGCTTTTGTGGAGTTTAAAAATAAAAAAATAGCTGAGAAATTCCTTGAGAAAAAACAAGGAACTAAGATCCAAGACCGGGTTTTGATTGTGGACACTGTAGGGGAAGCTCAAAAAGCCAATACCGACAATAACAGAGAAAATGGTAAGTGACTGTTATCTGGAATAATGCTAAAATTCAGTTGTCTTTATTTTTCTTTCTCTTATTTTACCTTTTTACATTTGATTGATTATTTTCTTTATTTTCGTAGTTGAAGCTGCTCCATCAGACGCCTTATTTGTGAGCAATTTACCATTCAATATTACAGAAAGGCAGCTTAAAGCTGTCTTTCAGGAAGCCGTAAGCTTCACCACACCTAAGAGCAGGGGAAAAGCTAAAGGGTAATTCCTTACAATCTTTTTATTTATTCATTATTATTTTTTTACTGAAGTATTTTATAGATTGGCAGTAAACATTTGTCTTTGCAGATATTCATTTGTAAAGTTTCCGACCGTCGCCGACGCCGAAAAGGCCCTGCAGTCAGCCCAAAATATTAAGATCAGCAATAGGACGCCCAAAGTGCAATTCTGTGACGGGAGACCAAAACCGGAGATCGAAACAGGTGTTTATGACCACCTGATTGGCCGATTTTTTATTTTTCTCTCTTCTTCAATTCAGCTTCTGATGACAAATAAAACTGTCAACTTCCGAATGTTTTTCTGCTTTAGTCCAGTCAAAAACCCTGATCGTGGTGGGCCTTGCCGAGAAGACTACACCCGAGACCCTAAAAATTGCCTTTGAAGGAGCCCTCAGTGCCAGAATCCCCACGAATAAGGAAACAAAGAGGTCAGATGCATGAATTTGGCTCTTCATTGTTGTTACTATGAATAACATTTTGTTGCCTGCATTTTTAAAGAAGAAGAAAAGTGCTATTTTTTTTTGTCTTGGTTGTCTTTTAGGTTTGGTTTTGTTGAATTTGAGAGTGAAGAACACTGCAGAGCTATCAAAGAGGCCATGGAGGACTGTGAGATAGATGGCCGAAAAGTGACGGTGGCCTACGCAAAACCCAAGGGTGCAAAAGAAGTTCCAGTTGGCAGAAGGGGCCTGCCGGGGCGGTTGTCAGCAGCAGGAGCCAACAGAGGGGGGAAAATGAAAGGTATCCGTCCGATTTCCTGCTTTAGAAAAGGTTTTCTATGAAGAAGTCAAGGAAAAGCAAAGATAAGCATGAAAAGTACATTTGAAACAGCAAAAAAATGCGGTCTTCGATGTGTTACATTTTTTTTAATCATAGACAATGGACGTCTTTGTTTCAAAATGATAGCGAAAAGTGGAACCGAAAGATAAAACAAACAGAGGGCGTTCCAAAAAATTCTACAGTTAATAACGTTTTCCAAATTTTGATATAACTGAAACATATTGTTTGCAGAAATATGTGATAAAAAACGGTAAAGTCAGCCAAAGAGGCTAAGAAACTGATAACAAAACCCCAGAGAAAAAGAGAGAAATGCCATTTTTTTACCTAGAAAGAAAAATTTACGACAATTGATCTCTGTGGTATTCATTTAATGACCAATTCTAAAAATAGAAAATAAATAAAAAATCTGTTTTATTAGAACCAACCTTGAACTCCAAAGTGTTTGCAAGTTATTCTTCATCTTCGGCAACATTTGTTTACCTGTAAACTTATGAAAAACTGCATCACTGTTTACAAAAAAGAGGAGTGGGCCCTCATTAGATATCATGGAAGTCCAATAGCAATCCATATGTGAATATTTGTGTAAAATCCATGGAAATGTGTTGTCTGACAGAAATTTTACTAAGTTGAGCGATGTGGTAGAATCACTCCTGCAGATCAGCCTAGACACTCTGTACATGCTTCAGATTTCAAAGTGTCATTTAATGTTTTTACAGCCGAATTACCTATAAATCTGCTCCGATTAACAGATGACTAAACACGTTGGAAGGTTGTGTTTCATTCTTCTGCCGCCTAAAGTGTTCTCCTAATTTTCTTACCTTAGTTGTGTTTCTTGCAGGAGGAGGACGTAAAACTGGTGCTTCACAGAAAGCTGTTAAAAAAGTCAAATGAGTGTGAGAACTAACCTGGATTGGGGAATTACCACAACACGTTTCTCAAATGTTTCAAACTGGAGCGTAAAATAAATCTCATGTTGCTTTTAGCTCGGTGGTTGCAAAACGTGCTCCATATAGCCTTTATATTTCCAGTATTTGTATGGATGACTTCTTGAAATTGAATCTTCTCAATTTGTATTGTGATGCACATTTGGAATCAAATAATGTAATTTCTTACTTGTAAGAAAAAGTTCATTAAAACCAAACTTGCTTTTAAGCAGAATTTGTGAATACTGGCATTTTTTGGGTCAGTAATTGTAAAATGGAACTGAAAACAGTAAAAAAATAAATATACTTGGACCCTGATCCCTCTTTTTCTAAAAACTGTAATTTATGGTCATGACTTGACTAATGTTCTGCTTTTTTCCCCCTTCGGGATGAATAGGGTTTTCTCCTTAAGCCTATGAAACACCACCAAAGCCAAATTGGATAAAAAGAAAGGACTTTTTAAGTTTTTCTTTGGCTACTTAAGAAGACATAAAAACGGGTAACAAACAAATCGAATTTCCATGTGTTTTGAAAATCTAATTGGATTCATTTACTCTGTAAATCTTTACTATAAACTATAATATATATATATATAAGAAAATATTTAATGTAACAAGTTTTGTTACAGCTCGAGCTCTGAACTGAACACAAATCAGAACTGAGATGAAGTTGCTATCACAAATGGGAACATAAGTCAGGAATTTGAAAGAAACAGAGAAGTTAAAGAAGAAACAAAAATATAATTAAGCTTTTGAATTCAAAAGTCAGAGAGCACTAAGATGTGTTTTATTGATGTCAACTATTAAATTCTTATGATTGCATCGGTTAAATTTCATTTAAATATATTTACAGCTGTATTTTAAATTAAAATACTCTTTGTAGATGTGTAAAATGCTTGGATCTGGACTTTATTGACTATTTCAAATGAGCTGATATATAACAATCTGAAAGGAAGGGACATTAAATTATGCTTTTTTATTTCTTAAAAGTATTTTTGGTGTAAAATGACTGTTTTCTTCACCTCTAGTTTTTTACCCCGTATTTCTTTTTGTATCTAATGAAATAAAATCCTTATTGGACTTTAGAGTGCCTTTGGAACTAGCTAATTTCCCTTAGGGGATCATTGTAGAAGAATGTCACTGTGAATAAGTGAAATATTAGCTAATACTTGGAGGGATTAGATGAACATCTTTCCATCTCGATTTCAAATGTTAAAACGTCTGTTTTAACTTTTTTTTTAGACATTTGACAAAAGTATGATCAAGTCTGGTCATCATTGGATACTAGATCAAGATTATGAACGAGTACGTTCAGGTTCGGTGGTAAAAACACATTTCTGATGAGGGTCTGGGCGATTGATGTAATCTGAGGAGCAGAAACGGGAGTGTGGTGTGGTAAAATGTCAAAATGGGATCAAAAGACTGGAAATCCTCCTTTTTCTGCCGACTCCACGCACGCACACGCAGCGGCACGGCAACGGCTTGTCCCAACATGAACATATTGAGCCCAAACTCCGAGTCCCAATGACCTCACATCCTGTTTTTCTACTTCCTTAATGGACCTGTTTGGGACGGTCCGGCGTCCGTGCAACGTGTGTTGGGACCGCGCATTTGTGCAGACGCACGCCGTCGGATCTGCCGCGACTGCAGAGGGCATCCGAGCGACCCGCGAACGCAACGATCCCAGCGTCCCACTACTATGCTGCGTTTGAGGTGTTGACACGGCGCGGAGGAGGCCTCGGTGAGTCGCTTTCTTGCGCAGGAATCCGTGCGTACTTACGCGATAAATCGAGCCCCGAAGGATGTTCGCCGGAAATGTTTGAGTCAAAGTCGTCCCGCATCAGTTTTAAAGCAACTTCAGAGACGGCTGAAAGTTTGTAAAGGTTACACACTGCCATAGAAAAGGCGCACATTCACTTATTTGGTTGTGCAAGACCTTACGTGAAGACAGAGACAACCCAATTTCTTCATCTGATTTAAAAAAAAAAAAAAAAAAAGTACCTTTTTTTCCTTAAAATTGTCACCACAGATCTCTTCTACTTTTGGGTTGCTCTCTCTCTTCCTTTCTCGATCTTCTAGTGTTTTACCAGATAAATTTTAAATGGGCGAGAGGGAATCTGTTGGTTTAAAAGAACCTGCTGAACTATGGAGCGAATGCATTCTTTCACAGCAGCTCACTGATCTGTGTGGAGGGTTTATGGAAGTTTAGTATTACTGTTTTCTCATCTGAGTTTTATCACGTTTTTCTTATTTTTATACGGGTATGAATATGTTCTGTTAATTTGTGGACACTGGTGCCACAACTGAGCATCTCAGCATGGTGCGTTCACTGATGTTGGGAATGGTATGCAGTTACATGGTGTTGAATAATAAAAAGAGTGTACATTGCTTCGATAAATGAAAAAACGTTAATTTTAACATGTTTTTTTTTTTTACACAGGGACATGTTTCATGGCTTGCATGATGAGTTCTATCCTCAGTTTGTTTTTTGTTTGGATGCCATTTCTAATAGTAAGACAATGAAATATGCAAGAGAAAAACTTTTAGGATAATTTGAAGGATGACAAGGAAGTAAAAACATTATGTAACAATCTTAAAATAGCAGAATCAGTGTAATTGTCTTTATAGACCTGGCAGTGATTAAGATGATAGATCAGATTGCATGTGAGTCAAACTTTATGGAAGGTGTGACGGTGATTTAGAATGAACATGTAAACATGGTACAAAGGTTTCAGTGTATTACAGCCTATCCAGCACCGTGCCAGTGGTTAACACATTAACAAACACATATATTTGAATTAACTCTGGATCACGGAAGCTATTCATATTAAGTGATCTAGTGATTACCATACCACAGATGTTACATATTCATGTTTTTTTTTGTTTTTTTTATTAGTCAAAGGGATTCACATTTTTAACAAGGACTTCTAAATAATAAAAAAGGGTCGATTTTACAATAGAGGAGGGGATATTTAGAGTAAACATGTACACTAAAGTAATACATAGTCTCGTTGTGTTGTCAGAGGATTTAAACTGAGTGAATATTCCAGAATATTCCAACTGTTGTAAATAAATGTATATTGTTGCCTTTCGTTTGCAAGTCCTTAGCAGTAACAGAATGGGAACAAGTGAAGAGATGAAGCTCATTAACCGGGGCCTGGAAGATGAGATGGTAAGTCAAATTTTCTAATCTCACTTCATATTCCAGTTTTCATTTATGAGAATTTTTAAACAAAAGTACCCTGTGAGAAATAAGACATATAGACAATGGATGGATGTTATTTAAAACTGCATTTGTGTACTAATGCTTCATTATGAAACTAAACATACGTCATTGCCCAAAAAATGTAATTAGAAAAGATAAACAACAGGACTTGACATCATCGAAAGTGGACATGGTTACCTTGACAATGGTTTGACAATGTATTAGTAGTTTTTCTAACGCTGAATGTAGTTTTTGGATTTAAATTGGTTTGTATTCTGCTTTCAGAGAACATGGCAATAGCTCTAGACGTAGGCGATTAGTTAAAGTAAGATAACTGGAAAAAGAAGTTTGCTGTCATGTTAGCTGTTTGGATATGATGTTTCTGCTAGCAACCAGCTAGCACAGTGCAAAGGGAGAAAATAGCTAGCTTAACTTTGGTTTGCACCTCTGATGTTAACTTATGGTTACAAAGCCAAAGTAGTTGCTTTCTCTTTTTATGCAAAGCTAAACTAATTGTTAAGGTTTATGGTTTTTCAGCTACATATATTATACGGGAGAGATGCTATTTCTTTAAGTTAGAACTGAAGCATATAAAAATGGCAGATCTAGTCACTTTAAGTGTAAAGTATATACTCAACACAATGCTCATCAAATAGTAGGGAATAATACAGAGGACAAAGAAGCATTAAAAAGCCCCATGCTTGTGAATTGACCACATAAAATTGATTTAATCTGTGGAAGACAGCATATTGGTACATAATCAAAATGTCAAACTTTAGCCATTCACAAAACCCACCTGTGTAAAGTGTAATGTTTGCTTGTATATAAGGCCCAGTAGTGACCAAAAAAGTTGCTTTTTTCAGTTACTTTTCAGACACCCTTAAAAGTTTTCCTATTTATTTGTATTTTTAAAAAGTGAATACTTAAAAATATGGTATAAATACCCCCAGTTTTTTCCCCACTAGGAAAACCAAACTTCAGACATTCTCAGTAAGGAACAGAGGGAAACGGCATCATATACAGTGGAACGTGTATATGTGTTACTTATACCTCTATTTTTGGGATATTATCATGAATGTCAACATAAAAATGACCATTTAAACTTTTTACATTAAAAAAAAAACTTTTATGAGATTTCTGTCATTCATCACTACCTGTCTGTGTCAAATTATGTGACCTTTCTATCAAGCAACACGTAGGCGCGCTGTGTTACCGTAAATTTGTGCTGTGCAGGTTGTGTGGGGGTACAGGCCCTGCCTTTGGAAGAAGATTCTGGTGGGTGTTGGTGTCGTTTGTTCCGGTGGTCTCCTGTTGCTGCTGCTCTACTGGTTACCTGAGTGGGGTGTTAAGAGCACATGCACACAGACGTCGCTGAGGGATGCACAGACGCTGCTGCTCAGGACTACGGTGGGAATTCAACATCCCTTACATCTAACCTGCGTAACTTGTTTAAAAGTTTGATGATTAACCTTTTTTTTTTTCATACCAAACAAAAGGTAATTGATGTTGTAAAGACTTGTTACATATGTGAATATGTTGCTTCTTAGATAGTCTGGATTTTGGCTCTGATGTTGTTGTTCCATTGTTGTACTCTGTTCTGTGTTCTCTGTTCACTAAAAAAACATTGCTTGCTTTATATGATTATTATAGGATGAGTTCAGGCAGTGGTTTCGAGCCAAAGTACAAGTGATGTTGGCTCCTGGGTTGAGACCCTTCAGTGATGTAGATCAGAAGCTCAACACTCCATTGCCAAATGGAGACAGAGACCATGGCGTCCAGTCTGTGCATGAAGGGCCTCATGGGAAGTTTCTTTATAGTGAAGATGTTCAGGTACTTTGTGGGCGAGGGGTTTTTATTTTTTTTCATTATAATTTTTACAAGTAATTTATAATAATTTGACAGTAGGATTTTTTTAAAAGTCCAGGTTAGTGATTCAGACATTGCCTCAAAGCCTCTACTTTTATTTAAAGTGAAGCAATAACAAAATTAGAACAGGATAATAACTTAAAATTTGTGTGTTTGCCCAGCCAAGGTGCAATTGTCATTTAAAATGCCAATTTTTTTGCAAATGTTCTATTCCTAAATGTCTTTAAAGCTATTTTCAAAGCCCTGTGACTTTGTTATGAAACGTAAACATGACTAATAATGGGATTAAATCTCCCTCAGAAACTTCCTCTCACATATAGAGTGAAGCTGTTGACAATTTACTTACTACTTAAGTGCTTATTTATTAATAGATTTTTTTTACAGTTTTTTACCCTTTTTATGTTTATTTCAGAATGCGCAGGTCTAATTTTGGCATGTGTGTAAATGTTTGACACATGGAGTGTTTGAACTCCTTCACCTCCCTTTGCCCTTATAGATACGCTACTTCTCCCACCACAGTGCTACTTACTACTGGAATGATGTCACGCAGGACTTTGAATCATATCAGTAAGTATTTGAATGAAAATCAGTCAGTTTTAAGTTCTGAAAATGGATTTTTTTATGTTAAAAAATATATAATTATGATTGACTGCAGGATTTATCAAATATCTGTTAAAAGTTTACCCATAACTTCATTTCAATGACAAAATTGAATTTATGTGAAATATGAGTTATTGAAAAGAGGCATCCTAAAGAGAAGATGTGCTCAGGATAAGATTAAAACTGCTAAACATTTCACATCACAGAAAATCTGAGCAGGTAATTAAAGATTAGGTTTTGGCAAGGAATTGATCCCAATACCTCAAAGGAGTTGTCTATAACCCAGAACATGTTGGCAGTTATTAGATGCTTTATCTTTTGCTTTGATGCCAGTCGTTACCGTAAAGATAAAGCCATAAACCATAAAGATTTGGTCTTGGGTAAGATCATTGTGGGCTAATTGTGTGCGACATGCGTTGGAAATGAAAGTCTTCTGCTTCTCTAGAGGCCTGGAGGATGTGAAGGCTAGTTGTGCACACATTCACTTAGATCACAGCTCTGGGCTCTCTAAAACATTGCAGGACTACAGGTATGTAAGTTCAAGTTAGAGTTGTCTTGTTTACAAAAAAATGACAACAAATTTTGGGATTCTTTTTTTTATCAGGCGGTTGTTTTTTGGGGAGAACGAGATCGCTGTGAGAGTGCCCTCTCTGTTCAAGCTTCTCATTAAAGAGGTGAGTTCTGATCTCTTGGCTAACAATGAACGTTCATTGCTCTTGTTTCAGCTTAAAAAAAATTGGGACATTCTCAGAACTTCTTAATGCTATCCTTTTTTTGTGTTTTTCTGATACACCAGGTCTTGAACCCTTTTTACATCTTCCAGCTCTTCAGTGTTGCTCTATGGAGTGCAGAAAACTACTACTATTACGCTTCAGCCATAGTTTTTATGTCTGTCATTTCAATAGCTACCTCATTGTATACTATTAAAAAGGTGAGTCCTCTCTGAGCCTTATACCTGTGGACCTTGTAGACTGATAGCTTTGATATTTCAATGTAATTTTTTCGTAGTCTTATTTAAGCATACAAAATCTGTGTTTTTTTGCCGTAGTCTTTTTAGAACTTTTTCCGTATTGCATTTTAGTAAAAACCCACGAGCATTTTTTTATGAATCAGCTTGTCTGTTGTTCCAGCAATATGTGATGTTACACGACATGGTGGCAGCACACAGTGTGGTCCGTGTGTCAGTGTGCAGAGGAAATAAAGGCATGTTTCGTTTCTAATCAAGCGGTTTCGGATCAAGCCACTGTCGAAGCCACATTTACACAATTTTTTTTACCCCCAACATATTCATCCTAGATATTGAACAAGCCATGTCGACTGAGCTTGTTCCTGGTGATGTCATCATTATTCCAACCAATGGGATGATAATGCCCTGTGATGCAGTGCTTTTTCATGGAACGTGCGTTGTAAACGAGAGCATGTTGACAGGTGAGTGTTGTGGAGAAGAGTAACTAGAATTAGGTATTTTTCATAACTTCTGTTTCTGTAATTAGAATTATTATTTGTAGTAGCAGCATTTTTGGTTGTACAAGCAGTTACTGTATCCCCTCCGTTGTACTTGCATGGAGAAAATTGTTTCAGGAAGCATGACAATGGCCAGTCACTGACTGAAAAGTTCTTTTTAATGACATTAACCTTTATGGGGACATTCATTCAAAGTAAACACAATAGAATTGCACTACAAACAAAGTCAAACCAGACTCACTGAATATTCTAATTTCAACTATTAGACTATGATCCCTAAACCAATCTACCGGGAACCGCCATTCAATGTTGTTTCATTAGCCACACCAGCCTCTAACCAACTGGATGGGAGGGAATACAAACCGTGGTTTGGGTACGGGGTTAAAAAAGATAAAAGAAAGCATTCATTAAGAATAACAACAAAAACAAACCAACTCACTTGAGGTTGCCACCTGGTTTCAATTGGGTAATTCTAACTATTTACTCCACCTATATGTACTTCCCCTTTCTGGATTTCTTCCTAGTCTCTCTCAAGTCTGTCTACCCTAAGTGCCCCCCCTGCTGGACCCCCAGCTACTATTGCTTCTTCTAATCCAAAATCACTGACTGGACCTTACTGTCTAATCTGACATGTCCTTAACTAATATCCTCACATTCTGTCCACTTACACCCAACTCCCTCAACAGTGAGACAGCAAAACTTTTAATAAATCCTCTACGTCCTACTTACACTTGGACAAATCCTAACATTCCAAGCTCTCAGCCCTGCTTCCGCCCCTAATTCTGCATTTTAACCTTTGTCCTTTCATATGCTTCTTCTGCTAAGTCCCCACAGTCAGCTAGCCCACAAGACTATATCTGGCCTTAGAGTTGTAGATACTGTTTCCTGGGGAACGGCAAACTTTTTTCCTAAATCTAAATCCGTCTCCCAATCACTAGCATCCTCTAAACTGGCCTAACTCCTCACTGTCTTTTAAATGTTCTCTCCTTGTTGAACAGACTGAAATTGCCATATTCGTCGCCTTAGACCCTCCTAAATTAACCTGGCCTTGTGACAAACTCGCATTACAGCCTGACAACATATGCCTCAGCGTTGCAGTACCTGAACATAACGAACATTGCGGGTCTCGATTTAACCTGTAGAACGTGAAAGTTCTGGGGTGTTGACAATACAGATGTTGCCCCTTATCAAAAGTCAAATCCTACTTTCCTCAACACTCCACATTTATTTCCAACTAATCTTTTTCTTCTCAACACCTTCACAGTTCAACCCCCGTCCTGCTTAACCTCAACCACTGTCTCTATACCCGTTAACATTTCCTCCTGCCTACAAAACTGCTCTACAACAAGCTTCCTCTTCTCTTTGGGACTTGCTCTTCACACCATTTTGCCAAGGCCAAGCCCCCAGCCTCCACCAACCTGTTCGAACATAACCCGCAATCTCTTAAGACTGGCTTCTACATTTAAACTTCTCTACTAGACTAGATACTGGGAGCTGGAGTATACCTTTTCCCATATAGTGAGATAGTACCTAGTCATCTACGAACCTAGCCACCTATCTACTCCCTAATGTAAGACTTAACTGACCATTCCATTTCCTCTGCAGCAGAAAATGGAATCTCATACACACAGTGGCCACAATAACCATTGAAACAATTCAAACTGCAGACACCACAGCCTCAACATTCCTGGAAGCCCTGATTTATTTATTCTATGCAGTCCCTCAGCAACATCTTTCCGAAACTGCACTACCTGCTCGCTATCGTTCAAGTCTGCCTGGTACCACCTACCTAAACTCTTTACTGACTTTTCCCAATTTATTGGACTTCTTTCTTCACCTATTACAAACTTTCTATTAATTAATTACAAAGTTTTTACTAAGATGCATGAAAAGCTGTCTTTGTATGTCTAGGTCTTTATTGCAGCCACAAAAGACAAAAAGTAAACAAATCGAGAAAAGTTATGGCTGTGAACTCCTGCTAAAAGTGACCTGAAAAGATCAAATAAATATCATGACCAGAACAAGAAGTATTTTGATTATATGACACTTGCTAACTGAGCATACCACGTTCCGTGTGCAAGTCTTCCTTGATGTTATTGTGTGGAAAAAATGTCCACAGCTTATTTCTGGGATGTAGTTTTCACCGAAAATCATCGTTTGTCATTTAATCCTTAGGAGAGAGCGTTCCAGTGACCAAAACCAGCCTGCCAAGTTCAGGAGAAGAGGCATCAGAGATCTACAGCACGGAGGACCACAAGCGGCACACCCTCTTCTGTGGCACCCATGTCATCCAGACCCGCTTCTACGCAGGTGAACTGGTGAAGGCCGTTGTGGTCAGAACAGGTGAGACCGAGGCACAAATTCGGAACTAATGGGAGAGGACAAGAAAATTTAAATTATTCTGAAATGTCCCCACAGGCTTTAGTACAGAGAAAGGCCAGCTCGTCCGCTCCATCCTCTACCCTAAGCCAACAGACTTTAAGCTGTACCGTGACGCTTACCTGTTCCTGTTGTGTCTGGTTGGGGTGGCGGGCATCGGCTTTATCTACACCATTGTCCTCAGCATCATTAGCAAGGTGTCACTGCCGCTTCAGGGAACACGCACATGTGCTGCGTGCACTAGATCTCTTCTGCTGATGATTGTTCATTTAACAAATCCAGGTTCCAGCTAAGACCATCATAATTGAATCTCTGGACATTGTCACCATTACCATTCCCCCGGCTTTACCGGCGGCCATGACAGCCGGCATCGTGTATGCGCAGCGGCGTCTGAAGCGCATTGGCATCTTTTGTATAAGTCCTCAGAGGATCAACATGTGCGGCCAACTTAACGTGGTTTGCTTTGACAAGGTAATTTGTGGCACAGTTGCTTGGACTTTTTGTTATTTGCACTTCAGCACTCTTGAGGAATTGGAATTTGAAGGTTCATATTTCAGCTCTAGTCAGACCCATGTTGGACTGAGACAAACATGTAGTTCTCTTTTTAGAGTGAATGACAACTGTGATCCAAAGCATCTAACAGTTCATGCACCCATTTCTGTGCTTGAATGCACGTGAATAAGATCAAATTTATTGGAGTCTCCATGTCTCAGTCTGCAGTAATCGGACAATAATGCTACTCATCCATAATATCATCTTAATGCAGTCTAAAATGAATACCCATTCATTTTAGGAAAATTTGTTGAGCAGAAAACTTAATGTCTGAAAGTGTAATGGTTATTCCTCACTATTTTCAGACATTTTCAATTGAGATGGTAAATAATAAAAACTCTTATTGGAAGTATTATCTGTTGTGGAACCAAACTTTGGCTGTGAGGGAGCCAAGTCGTTTTTATTTGTTTATGCATAAGCCCTGAATTTCTTTTTCTTTTTTGGTTTCAAAACATCCCCTTTCCTTAAAATCTTTGTAAGTGGTCATGAGCCATGAAAATACATCTAAAAGCTTTCAGAGGTCTTTAACAGTTCCATGAGTTTTTGTTTCCTTGCTGACTCCAGCACAGATGAGAAGTAGTTCTAAGCTAAAAGGAACAGAACAAAAGACAGTAATATAAAAATAAAGGAAAAGAAGAAGAAAAACTTTGAGATTTCTTTTAAGAAGCCTTGAGAAGCCTGAGTTGGTAGCTTGATGAGCACTGTTTGTTTTCACCCTGCAGACTGGTACTCTCACTGAGGATGGATTAGATCTGTGGGGTGTTCAGAGAGCTGTAAATGGCAGGTAAGAGGCTTTCTCCTTTCTCCTCCTGATTATAAGAGGTCTGCCAGCTGATGATCAGAGCAACTAGTGCAGAAGTGGTACACTTTGTTGAGTTTTATACACTGCTTATTCACAAGTAAATTAGGTAAAATAGTTGATTTTGACCCAATAGGAGACGCTAAATTGTTGATTCTAAAAATGCCATAACTGATTTACATGACTAGTCCAGTCCTGACTGACATGAGGAAACAAAATAATATAGGCGGAGGTATTCAACATCTTTTTATCTGAATGTGTGTCTTACCTGTTTTATGCGCATTGCTCCATTTTTAGTCAACACAATTTTGTCCTTCGTTGCAGCTTTTCTCCTCCACAATCTGAAGCCTCTGAAGTAAATCTGGTGAACACGTCATTTGTGGCCTGCATGGCAACCTGCCATTCACTGACCAAGATAGAGGGAGAGCTCTCCGGAGACCCTTTAGACCTCAAGATGTTTGCCGCCACGGGCTGGGTAAACAAACAGTCGCTGTAATTAGCATGATTAGACCCTGTGACTACAGCCGGCACTGATGGGTGGACTAGCAAAAGCCTTCCACTGCTCATTTATAAATGGAAGCTGCCTTTTCCTTTCAAGAGAAAGCAGTCAGTTTATTTGGTATTCTGTCATGCCAGGTGCCGGCTGATGCCTCAGAATGTTACCAAGATATCATTATTCCTCCTTTAGATCTTAGAAGAGGCCACAGAGGAAGAGACGACGCTCCACAATCGACTGATGCCCACCGTTGTTCGACCTCCAAAGCGTTCTGTCTCAGGAGCCAATCAGAACAATTCGGCAGTGCATGACATGGTACAATGAATCTGAATATCTTATATTTTTCACTATTATATGTGCAGGAATTTGTTTGATTTGAATTTATTTTTTTTGTCCAGGAGCTTTCGGAGTCATTGGTAAGTTCTATTTTTATTAGACCTTTGTCAGATTTGCTAAATACTTTGTAGCCTTCTGTGTAATCTTTTCTTTCACGAGCAAAGGATTTGGAGAAACCAGATGTGTTTACTTGTGACTTTTGCTTCCCAGCCCTATGAGATTGGCATTGTGCGTCAGTTCCCCTTCTCATCGGCGCTGCAGAGGATGAGTGTGGTAGTCAGGAGGTTGGGAGAAAAACACATGGATGCCTTCATGAAAGGAGCTCCAGAGGTTGTGGCCAATCTTTGCAAACCACACACAGGTCAGACACTATTTCTGGGAAAGGTATCACTTCCTCTCATCTGGACTTTATTAAAACCTTGAAAACACACAGTTCAGAGAAAAAAAGTGCACAAAAGATCTCAACACCTCTACGTTCCATCGACAGTATATTTCTTTCTTTTAAACAAAGAACAGTCTGATTTGGCTCTGTTTTTCCCCTCAGTCCCACAGAGTTTCACTGGGATTTTGGAGGGCTACACTGGGCAGGGCTTCAGGGTCATTGCCCTGGCACACCGACAGCTGGAGTCCAAACTATCGTGGCACAAAGTCCAGAGCCTTGGCAGGTACGCCTCCAACCACAGATAACACTTGTTCACAGAACATGTGGCTGCTCTCAGCTTAAGATAAAAAAAACAAACACAACAAACGCTCACCCCGCATTGAAAATAAGCTTCTTCAAATGTAACTTCCAGTTTTCTTTTCTTTTTAAAAATGAAATGCAAGTTCATTCTAAAGTGGACTGCATCTGTTATCTGCAACATTAAACGATAACAGTGATAAAACAACTAGCTATTAGTCCAATACAAAATCTGATAAATGTGAGAAATTATTAACTCAAGGGGAAGATGGCATGGTAGTTTGACAGGGAGGCAGAGTGTACTTGAGCCAGAGGGAAAAGAGTGGCCATCTAGAAGTCTACCTTTAATCCTAACTGAACTATCTAAATTGGGTCATAATGTCTAGGTTAATTGAATTTTGGGAATATAAAATTACATGAATTGAATAAATTATGATTATATGGTGACAGTTTGTGATATGACCTTTTAAGGGATGCAATAGAGACCGACATGGAGTTCCTTGGTTTGATCATCATGCAGAACAAAATCAAACAGCAGACTGCCGGTGTTTTATGTGAACTGCGGCAAGCGAACATCCGCACCTTGATGGTCACAGGTAAACGTGCTCTGTAAAGAGTTTCACTCAAAATCCTTCGTTTGTTGACCAGTCTAGTCTCACTCTTCTTCCGCCCTCGCATCATCCATCAGGTGACAACATGCTGACAGCTATATCGGTGGCTCGAGACTGCGGGATGGTTCGCCCACAGGAGAGGGTGATCATAGTAGACGCTGCGCCTCCCAAAGATTTCTACCCTGCCAGTATCACGTGGCATTACACCGACAACCCTACTCAGACTGTTGGGGACAGTCAGGTATGGCTCTCAAATCCACGATCATAAGTGATGGCTGCCTGCTGGCCAAAAAGCTGTTTCTTATAGAAATACGGTCACAGTTTTCCACTTTTCACATCAGTTTTCTGACACAGTCGGTTAAAAAAGACCTCGCTTTGCAAAAAGGGATGCCCTCTTTTTAGACAGAACAAAAATACAGTGACAATATCTTCAGTAAGCAACTGCTGGGTTATCAGGGAGTAGCCAGGGAGTAGCCAGTTTATCAGAGCTTTTTAGTGTCTCCTCAGGTTGCCTGAGCTAAGCAGGTTAGCTTGTGCTAACTTTTATGGCCACGCAACTCTGCAAATATCAGCATTTCCATTTTCTCCAAAGAGCTTCATGACCTGAATTGGAAGATGATCCTGTGAGAGATGACCGTAGCAATCCTCAGTTTTTAACAATGTATAAATATCTTATATTTACAGGAGCACATCCAAGGCTACTGCCCTCAGCTTTCTTCTATATTTTACAAGAGAGGAAATATTCATATTAGATGTATTGCATTTAAAAAAAACCAAAGAAGGTCTTCCTACAGATGAGAATATTTAAATGTTTGCTCAAAAAGAGTCACTCACTTAGATGCACCTGAGTATTTCCTATTCCTAACCAGAAGGAGAATGAGAACCCTCCATTACCTTCTGATTATGTGGTCTTTGTTGAAAATGTTGGAACTTTTTTCTTATATGAGGCATTAGTAGGTTAGAGGAGTTGAAGAAGAAGTGGCGCAGAAGTGGAGAGTTGAAAAAGCCAATAGTTAGTCAGCTCCTCAGCTGCACTGGTTCTCTTTTAAAAAACGTATGATCTGTATTGACTAAAACAATATTTTCCAAGACACATTTAATTATTCTTTCCTCTATAAATGAAATGATCTAATATGATTAAAAATATTAACTATATAGCTATGAAACCTATTCAAACGTCTTTTAGATGTTTTACATTCAAATTGCCTAAAATTAATCAATAACTCTGTAAGCATGATAGGAACTTGCCAAATCAAAAAGACCCAAAATGAACATTTGTTGTAGAGCTTAACAGGTGAAGAATGGGAGGCTGTCTTATGGCTGAGTTTGTCATGGTTCCATCTGGTGTCACATGTCATTTTTGGTAATTTTAAAGCAACAAACAGGAAAATGATCCAGAGACAAAACATTGGCTGACATACACTCTTTATTAATGAGCTGCTACTCATGTCATTGGAGAAAAGGGTTCCAGTTCTTTAAGTGTAGTTAGTTTCTAATAGTTTCTAAGTGTGTGCTGATGGTGCTTAAACTATTATTTGAACAAAGTCATGTGACATGACTCCCCAGGGGTGTCCTCTAAGGATTCTTCCATGAAGTCATTCAGTATTTGTGCAGGTGTTTCTGCACAGTAAAACAGAGCACCACCGCTGTCTTCTTCTGGCAGTTTGGAGTTTTCGGTTAGTTTTCCTGGTCTTCTGTATTTCGGCCTGACTTCACATTTCAAAACAGAAAGCAGCCACATGCACATATTTTGTGACATCCATCCTCTGCTCTGTGAATATCCCTTTATCTTGATTTTTGCTTTAAAGGTTGTGGATTGTTGGGACGAGGCGTAAAAAAAATCTTCAAGAAGGATTTCTATAAACACTTAAAATCTGCGTCAACTCCTTTCTTCATTAAGATTATAAGTAAACTACAGAGACCTACAGAGCTAATGAGGATTTTGAAGCTTTTTGAAGTTTTTGAAGCCAAAGTAACCCCTATTTTTTTTATATACGGTCCTCAGTTGTTATTTTTTTATTCCAAAACTGGACAAAACAAAATGGTTAAAAAAAAAAGAAAAATAAATTCCAGTTAGGATGAAAGTATTGTGGTTATACCATACTTTTTCAGTATGTTATGATTATCATAACACCTCATGGCAAGAGGGTTGCTAATTTGAAGGGAGTTTTGGGTGGTTGTCTGTCTTGCTCATGTGTGAATGAAACTGTGACCTGTCCAGAGTGTACCCTGCCTCCTTCCCCCACTATGAATAAGTGGTGTATAAAATGGATAAATATTCAATTATGGAATTTTCTTAATGATATTCAGAGCACCACGCTTAGTATATTTTTTCCTCTAATTTGTCTTTCACATTTATATGCAGTAAAAGAACAGCTTAAGCCGTTAATCTCTACAAGTTTTTTAGGATTAATAAGTAGGTCAATTACTGCATGAATAAGTAAGACAAGAGCTGACTGGTGTTTACAAAACAAGAATTAAATCGCCATCTCTTCACTATAATTACTCGTCATACAAGATAGTGGTTTGTTAGCTATTTGGTGTTTTTGTCCTAACTGATTCGGTTCTTCTCTTTCAGAGTACAGAGATAAACCTGGAGGAGGGGACCTACCACTTTGCTGTGAGCGGCAAGGCCTTTTCTATTATCAACGAGCATTTTCCTCACATGGTCCCGAAGGTACAGGCTCCTTTTTAAGAAAAAAAAAAAGACACCTCAGGTTATTATTTGATCTGATGCTGTAATGCTTTTTACACCCACATGGGGGCGCTACAGGTCGTGCTGAGAGCCACAGTGTTTGCCCGCATGGCCCCAGACCAGAAGACCCAGCTTGTGGAAATCCTGCAGAGCATGGAGTGAGTCTCCGTTTGACTTTGTGGAATTAGTTTCAGCGTGTTAAACTAAAAATCCTGACCTCCATCTCTTTAAATCCGTCATAATTTCGTCATTCATAACTTGGAAAATGTTTTTACTCTTCCAGTTACATTGTTGGCATGTGTGGTGATGGTGCCAATGATTGTGGAGTAAGTATGGACCATGCACAAACCTCACCACCAATTCAATTCCACATTTTTAGACTCAGTTTACATGGGCTCTGACAAAATGTTTGATATCTGATCGATTCTTTGACCTGTGATAACAGAATTAGATGTCACAGTTTGTGATTTTTAAGTGTTTTTGTATATGGAAGCAATGTATAGAGGTAATGGCAGTTAGCTTGGTCGTGCTGTGGCTTGTTCACAGTTAGAGTTTGAAAAGGCCAATTGATGTAAAGTTTCATGTAGCCATTTACTTAGTTTGTAATATGATTAAGAAGTTGCAGTTAAAAGGAACAGCAGAGGTCAAGTTTAGGTCTGGAAAGCCAAGAGAACATCTAGTGGATTTATCATAAAGGAATAGACCTCTTCTTTTACCAAGGAAAGATGCAGTAGACTGCAAGGGAGCTTCACATTTCCCCATTTTCTGCATGTACTCTTTGTGGCAAAATCAGCAGATCTGCGTCCTTACTTCGAATTTTCAAACAGGCCTTGTGTATTTAGAATCAATTCCGTTGACCTATAAAGTTAAAGCAGAATGTCTCCCTAAATCCGGATATCCTCTGTAAATTGAAACATTCAGAATATTTGCAAAATGTCAACAGATTAACAGAACTAAAAGCCTTTTGTGGAGTCTATCAGCCCCTATCATGAATGGGTAAATCTGAACACGCTGTGTTTGCCATTCACTACCAACCTTGGCAGAGTTGCCAAATATTTGGTGTAATTGAGTTTAAACTGGTCAAGAAATATATCTTTTTTGGTAGAATCTTCATTAGAAATTGGGTCATATTTGTCTTAGAATATCTTATATTGGTTAAGCAACAGAAAATTTTCATGACTTTTTTTTTGTCTACATTTGAATATGTAAAATGACCCATGTTAATGAGGGTTCCTGTGTTTCACTCTTAGGCCTTGAAGAGAGCTCACAGTGGGATTTCTCTTTCTGAGCTGGAGGCTTCCGTTGCTTCACCTTTCACCTCCTCCACCTCAAACATTTCCTGCGTCCCGAATCTGATCAGGTAGACCCCTGATCCAAGTTCACTTACACTGCTCCAAACAGGAAATCAACACATGCTTCTGGCAAAGTCACACAGAGGATTGATCATAGCAAGAATACAGACTATTAGAATATATTTTACTGCCTTTGCCACACTTTGATTGTAGTTTAGAAACCTCTTTCCAGAATTTTGTTGCCAAAATTTGTAAGAATATCTGAAGCTCCAACAGATTTTTTTGTTTTTGTTTTTTTTGCTTTGTTTTTTACATTCCAAAGGGAGGGACGAGCGGCTCTCATAACATCATTCTGTGTCTTTAAGTTCATGGCTCTCTACAGTATCATCCAGTACATCAGTGTCATCCTGCTTTACTGGGTAAATACTCCCCTGATTTCATTCTCAAGAAGTAATACAGGTTTAGAGAAATGTGTTGAACAATCTTCTGTTTAACTGTTTATTTACATTTCACTTTTAGATTCTCAGCAATTTGGGAGACTTCCAGTTTCTCTTCATTGACATCGTCATCATTCTTATCATTGCCTTTACAAGTGAGCATCAAGCACTGAGAGGGCAGTCTGCCAGCTTCAGCATCATCTAGTTCAAATGACTTTTATTAAATGTTATTTGATTGATCATTGGCCTTTTTTCCCCCTCTGTTTCATAAGTGAGTCTTAACCCATCGTGGAAGGAACTGGTGTGGCGTCGCCCGCCATCCAGTCTGATCTCTGGCCCACTCCTCTTCTCAGTTCTGACCCAGATCCTCACCTGCCTAGTCTTCCAGGTTCTGGCTTTCCTCTTGGTGCAAAAGCAGAGCTGGTACGAGACTTGGACGCCTCAGTCAGAGTGAGTAAAATCTTTTTTCTTTTCTTTCCACAATTTTGTTCTGAAATGAATGCCCGCAGTTGAAATACCTCATCATTTTAGGTTGACCTTTAATGCAAATTAGCTATAATGTTTACATTTGTGGGCTAATTTAGATAGGATAAAACCAGAATTTCAGCATTTTACCAATTTGATATGTACTATTCATGTCTCATTTCAAAGCTGGAGGCTCATTTTAAACAAGTTAGTGTTTAAGTGAGATGTGTCCCACTGATGACTGCAATGTCACTCATGCAGGAAAAATACTAAAGGCCTCATAAAGTCACTCTTTTCCCCCCAAATGTCATTTTACCATAAGGAATCCAAGAAAATTATATACACGATCATTGCAGTAAAATCAATTGATAATGAACAATAATTTTACTACATAGTATATCAAAATGTATGAACGCATTTTTATAAAACTTAGAAAACAGGCTCAGCTGCCTCATACAGTTTTGTGTCTGTGTTTATGTCCAAATTATGAAGTGCTGCTGCATTAATGGTGGCTGAAATTCACTTATCCAGCAGTGAGTCCTAAGTATAGTGAACACTATATGCAGGGAGGGGGAATAGGTTGATATTCAAAATATAGTTATATCTACAGTCATATCTACTGTATCACTGGTTTAATGTCTAGATAAAGTGTTGTGAACCACCATGAGTTTTTTCCCTCTATTTAGTTTCTTTTCAATGCCTCATTTACTTTTTAAAAAATATTTTTTGCCATAGCCATACAAAAAATAATCCAAGATTAATAGGAAAAACTTAATCACTAAAAAGGAGTTTTTGCTACCCTGAGAAATCCCATAATTAGTCAAATTCATTCCACGTTTTGTGCAAGCAAAGTGTCACATGATTTCAGTAATCTCTTGCTATATATACTACAGACTACAAAAAAAAATGGACAACATAGCTGCTCAAACAGCACATTGAAAATTGGATAGACGTTCCAGTCCTGGATGTGGCTGGGGGCATAAATGGAGACAATCCAATATCTAACAAACCTGTTTTTCTGATGAAGCTTGATAAAGGACAAATCGGAATGACTGGCCTCTACTTGCTTAAGTTTTTTCTCTATTTGCTTTTCTCTTGCAGTGCCTGTAATGTCTCTAGATTCAGCCTCTTTGAGATACTCAATGAAACAACCCCTCACGACCACAAGAACATCAGGAACTATGAGAACACCACCCTCTTCTATGTCTCCTCCTTTCAGTATTTGGCTGTGGCCATTGTTTTCTCCAAGGGAAAGCCTTTCAGACAGCCAAGTTACAAGAACTGTAAGACTTGAGGGTGACGACATTCATTTATTTTCTCTCCAGTTTGTGGTGTCAGATGGAGCCGCATATGAAAGGGGGAGTTTTCTTTTGCAAATCTTAATAACTGTCCACGTTCTTATATTTTTCATTTCATTAGGGCCATTCATGCTGTCGTGCATTGGTCTCTATTCCTTTCTCCTCTTCATCATGCTGTATCCTGTCCCTGCCATCGACAGCTTCTTAGAGGTAAACTTTCCTTTTTCTCAGCGACCCCCGACCCAACAATGGCAAAAAAAAAATCTAAATGTGGGAGACGCCGCGGGAGCTGAGCAGTTGTTTAAAGTGTCGGGAAAATGTGTGTATCATCCGCTGCCTCATCCCGCATTCCTGCCTCCCCCCCCAGATCGTGTGTGTTCCCCATGATTGGCGCGTTACTCTGGTTGTCATTGTCATGGCCAACGCGGCGGTGTCTCTCATGTTGGAGGTATGCTTTACAGACGCGGCACCCCACTGCATACTGTGACTGATCTGTTTACATTTGCAAACCACCATTTGCACGCTTTTATCATGATCTTTTATTTTCCCACCCGATCAGCACCCGCTGGTAAATCACTTCCTAATGAACAAAATCACTGACTTCTTATTCAGGCTTGCCATTTGTGTTAGTATTGTCTGTTTTGGGGGGTTTGCAACCCCGGTCTGCGTGATCAGCTGCTATTTTTTCTAAGCTCCCGCTGAAATCTCCCATAGATTTTCCTCCTTGACATCGTCTTGTGGAAGCTTGTTTTCAGAGGCAATCAAGGGGCAAATCACCCCAGAGATCCTTCCTCTACTGAGACGCCACAGGTTGGGAAGCTTTTGACAACATTCTGACTTGCATACTCTCACTGTTTTTGTTTTTTTCTCTGATTCTCAAACCTCTGCGTATCACTTTGATCATTTCCCTTTCCGTCAAATTTTCAAATTTAAACTTCTCTTCATCATTTTTTTATTTTTATTTTCATTATCTTGTTTTTATGATAACCACATAAGTAGCATTCAGATCATAGCCCCTGTCCGAGCGTCCGATCTTGTTAACTCGCTTACTTAGAGTGGTTGGAAAATGTTTGTGTTGAAGGTCTTAGCTAAAGGAGGCTGTGTGCGTAAAAAAGAACTCTAACGTTTGACTTCTTCTCAGAGCGCCAACAACCGCTGGGGCTCGTGTTGCCTCTCCCGATTGTTCTGCCAGAGGAACAAGCCCCCAAAAGTTCTGTACAGGCACCTCGCCTTGGAGCTACAGGAAGACCCCGACTGGCCGCCCAAACACTGCACCACCACCGTTGCCAGAGATCCTCTGTCCTGTGGCTCTGCTGCCCTCTAAAGCGAGCATGCACCAACAATGCAGCTGAGACGAAACTTGTAGCTTTGCTCAGTTTAGAGAAGATGAGTTCAGCTTGGGGCCATTGGGTTCCGGCGAAAAAAAACAAAAAACACACAAAGAGAGTCCCTGATTGTCTATTGACTGACACTGAACTGATCCTACTTAACAGTAAAGTACTGTAAAAGTACACCTTCCGTCAGTTCTAAAGCTTCACAGTAAGAAAATCATCTGTTCCTTATTTGGCTTTAGATTTAGCCAATTTGGCTTTAGATTTTTATGATGAGCAACAGCACACAACATATTAGGCAAAATGGCAAAATGCAGAGTGAGTGTGTGAAAAACGTCCTCAACCCTGTGATCAAACCACCTATAGAGCCACTCTCAGTAGCAAATAGTACTGTACATGTTTTCCATATGACAATATTGTTGTCTTTTGTGAAACCTCCACCCACTTTTCCTAACAGTATTGCTTCAGGTTGTCGGGGTTTATTTGACATTTAATTATGCTAAGCTGTGTTTAGGTCCCACCGTTTCAATCAGACTGAGGTCTGGACTTTAACCGGACCATATCGACGCTTTGATTGTTTTATTTTTCAAACATTCTGTTGCAGATTTGCATCTGTGTTTGCTATTGATGTACCAATTTCAGCCTCGTTTTAGCTGTGGCCTAGATAGCATCACATTTGACTCTATAATACAAAGGAGTAGACTTAAGCACTGTCCAACGCCGTTCTGAATAGTGCCGATGGTCTGTGTTTGGTTTTCTTCACAACTATTGCTCTGCTTTACATCCTCAACTTTCCCTCCTTTGGTCTCATATTTCAAACCTGGGCTGTGGTGCCATGTTTCCTATCAAGAGAAGAGGCTTTCTCCTGCAACCCTTCAAAACAAGTCGTACTTGTTCAGTCTCTTTCTAATCACGCTGTCATGAGCTTTAACATTTACCATACTAACGGAGGCCTGTGGAGGCCACGTAGCGGGTTTTTTTTTTCTTTTCTAGTTCGTCTCTAAATCTAAACTTTGGGAAAGCTTCCCTGGACGTCTACTCCTGGGAAGATTGACAGCTGGCATGAAAGTTTTCCACTTGTGGAAATTCTTTCTTTCCGGATATGGTCTTATAACTCCTCTAAAATGAACAAACAGCAACAATTGCTTCTTTAAAAAAGAAAATCTAGGATCTTTAAGTTATAATGCATACATCTAGTGCATTTTGGCAGCAGTACCTGGCAGCAGCTCAGACAGATTCCCCCCCGCTGGATATCAATGTATGCATCTTTTGTTTGTGATTGCCCCATGTGGCAAGTAACGTCGTATAATGTAAGGCGTGCTATTTGAACATATGGGAATGGCTCAATGTGGCATTTATAGGATGTACTTTGAGTGGTTGGCTAGACCAGAGAAGCGCAATATAAGTTCAGTCTGCTTAAGTCCTATGAGAGCAATAGGGATGTTTTTCACACGCTGCCTCTTCATCTTTGTTATGCAAATAATGACATGGATAATGTATTGTATTTTTCTATTGGTTTTGGTTAACAAATTGTAGAATCTTGTGAAAAACTGATATCTTTTTAAACACAAAACCTTAGAATTGAACACATCAGTCCTTCATTTTCCCTTCAGAAACAATGCAACTCTCAAGAAAGTAAACACGTACGCCTGCGTTCCACAAGGAGATGGAATCTCTTTTTAACTGTTGTGCAGACAGTGTGTATTTAAAGGAATGTTTCCTTCTGATCCTGTATGTCTGAAGACATGAGCTGCCTTTTTTCATAGTCTCACACTGAAGAAAATCGCAGATCAGTCAAACAGCTGTTTTGTCATTTAATGAAAGTTTTGCTGCTCTAATACAAAAGTCGGCGAACCGCTGTTGTTCAAATGAATTGCACACAACAGACTCACACCTGTTGGGTGCATTAACATTTCCGGTACAGTTGCATTTTGGAGACAGGCGGTTTTGCATTTGCTGCATTTCCTTTAGAAATTCTTCCTGTGGAAGAGAGTGGCAGAAATGGCTGAGTCCCTTTCTAAGAACATGTAGGAAAATCCCTTCGAATGCCTGTGCCACTATCTGTGTGTGTTTGTGGAATATGAAAGTAAATAAGGACCACGAACAGTTAAACAGTTTAATTTCCCCTCGTCTTTTAAAACCTTTGTGCAGTTGTGATGGTCTTTTGGGAACCTTGTGTAAAAGTTGGCATTATTGATTACACAAATTAATACAACAAAAAGTTCATCGAAGTGATGAGTTTAATCTAATAAAGACGTTTTTATACAAGATTTTCCTGTATCTTAGTTTCATTTGTCTTACCCATATTTTTCTAGGCCGTTTTCACTCAATTAAATCAATGTATAAAATGTGTCATTAATTCTGTTGAAATAAAGCAGAGTCTTAGTGGAAAACGTTATATGGTTTTTGCGTTTTTTTCATACTCCTAATGGCAGTTTTGATGGAGAAGAACTTCCATTAAATCGCTCGATAAATCTCTATATCAAGCCGGTCTTGCAAACTTCGTGGGGGGCTGACCTTGGTCACACTTTTTCAGCTAAGACTTACTGATCAATTATGAGCTTTCCCAGCCTCCTCGCTGCCTGGCATATGGGCGCTTAAGGGTGCAAGAGTGGAGGAGAAAGAGGGGTATCATTTCATGTGGAGATCAGGGCCTACAGGCAGTGAATGGGTGGATTTAGGGGGGACTGTGAATAAGGGAAGGGGTTGCTCGCTTGTACCAAAAAGAAAAGAATCTCCCACAGATCAGGGAAGAGCCTTTTTTGGGAATATTCATGACGAGGATGAGGAGGCATCATGAATTCTTGTCTGTCTCTCTGACTTGCATGGATCATCTTTTCTGTAAACACCGATGTTTGCAGAGTCGCGACGTCTTGCTTTCGATCCGTGTTTGCCATGTAGTTTTTACAGCTAGTGTTGCCTCTCCACAAAGCAACATGGGTTTTTTGTGTAGTCGGTTGTATTCCTTTTGTACCCGTAGGCGAGCAGATGGAGAGTGGTAAAAAGACATAAAGAAGCTAAAACACACAGTCTTTCTTCTTCACAGTTAGCAACTATAAAAAAAAAGGTTTTCTCAAGCTTGTGCTCAGACGTGTGCACTTCTGAGCATTTTAGACTTTTCTTCTTTTCCCTTTTACTAACGCTTAAAAAAAAAATATCTGAGTTGTGTAAGATTTGGATTTGCACTCAATCCGATGATTCTTTTTTCGCATACAGTGGTCCGAATAGAATAGAGCAACTAAACCTTCTTAAACCATTTTACATGGTAAAAACCACAATTTTCTACCACAAGTTCTGTTGAAGGTTTCATCAATTTCTGCCTATTGTCAGTCTAAATGATTTTCAATGCGTTGAAGGTTCTACAAAGATTGTCGGACCTTCATAAGGCCCCAGTCTTGATTAATTGTCAGGACACAAGGCCGGCCTGATGTTCCCCGATGGCTCGCCTCACTTTACTGATGATACAAAGCCACCCATGTCTGTGACCTAGCAGACGGTCACAAAGCCCCTCTCTTCCCTCCTGCCCCTTAAGCATAGGTTTCTTCCTGGGCCTCCATTGCGTCCCTGTCTCCCTTTATTTATCAGACCTTCCTGGCCTGAATGGCCTCTGTGGTTGGTCAATAAATTCAGTGATTCAGGGGGTGGACAGTTGCAGCCGTGTTAGCGTTTGTTCACAGGCTTGTCGGAGGGATTTGCCCCGCCCCGTGGCTCTTTGTCTCCTGTGGTCTCTCATCAGGTTAGAAGTCAATGGAGGGCCTTGTGCGGAGGTGGCAGGGGCATGGACGGAGCCGCCTCTCACATGGCTCTCACACAGGGGGAGGACTGGTCCGGATCACGGTGACACTTGTTAGTAAGGGGGCCACACAAAGTTGCCCGCTTGCCTCTCTTACTCTCCCGAGGGGCCTGCGCGATCCTCAGTGCTTTAAACAAACTACTGCTTGAGGCTTCAGGCTTGCATTGAGGTAAGGCGATCTGCGCTCGGAGGCCTGCAGCGAGCGCGCTGAAAAGATGTGCACAAGCGTATCTTACAATCTCACTTTACGGATCAGCCTCACAATAAAAATGAGGTCAGGCCTTCATTTGCAGCGATGGTAAACCCCGTCTCTAAATTTGAACTAGAATAGCGTCGATGCACTCTCGTGGCCCCTGAAGATGCCACGGTGTCGCTGAGTTATGGCTCCTCTCTCAGGCTCAGCTGAGCCCGAGCATGGGAACTTAAAAAGAAAGGACAGAGAGCCATAGACGGAGCAGCACACAAACAGCAGAGGGCTTTAGGAGGCAGAAAACAGTGGACAGAAAAAGACGCAGTGTGACTGAAGAGGGACTTAGAGCCATGACTGAAGCCTAACTGTCATGAGAAGATGAGAGTTGCCATGGCCACCCGGGAGCCACCCAGCAAGCATTTGAGCCGCGGAGATTTGGGGGGCCGGGATTTTAGGCATTGGCCGGTGGATCACATGCACTAACCAGGGATTATGTGCATAAGCGATGAGCGCTTAAGCCGGCAGGTGAAGAAGGGAGACCCTGGGACAAGGAGCGCACCATCCCTGAGGATGGCTCCTTCTGTAAAAGCCCAGGGACTTTTTCCCCAAGTGAGGATGATCTGCCATGTGAAGGGGACTCAGCCAGAGGTCCTTGAGTGCTGAAAGGGCATCCCCCCAGGCTGCTTTCATGGCATAAGTGGCCATAACGCTGGTCTTGTGAGTCATCTTGACTGGCAAGAATGGGGCATCTTCACATTCATAAATACCAGCACAAACACACTTGTGGATATGGACTAAGCTCGGAGGAGGATAACAACCACACGGCCAGGCATCTGCGATTGCCAGCTTTTGGCCCACCGCAGATATAAAAGAACACAGTTTACTCTAGTGTTTATTTATAGACAAGGAGGTCTTTTACTTGCCAGGATCAACAGGTTCTCAGGTTGTTTGGATGCAGGGGATCAATCCTCGTAATATCCATGGCCTTACAGGAATGCGTTTGAACTTTGATGGCACAAAGAAATTACATTCCCAAGGTCCATAGACCGAAAGTACACAGTTCACCAACCTTCCCCCAATACCTTTTCAAGACGATAGTATCCCTGAACATATTAACATGTAAATACACTTAAATACTTTAACAATACATTGAAATGCATATAATCTACATGCTAACTAGCGCTCTAAAGAGTTTCCACAGCTGAATGTGGTGGAGGCAACACTTTCATGTCTGGGTTTTAAAAATTAAATGTGAGGCCTCTCTCACAATCTTTAAAAGCGTTTTTTCTTTTTCTTTTTTTCTTCAATTTGATGAGGGATAAGGCGATGACTGAGTTTCCTTTTCAATGGGCGAGACCCAGAGTTTAATAAGACTTCAGTCTCATTGCCTTGGCCTCCAAGTTGAAGATCTAAATGCCGGCTTTTTTTTTTCTTTTTTTTTTACATGAAGAAACCGACCACATTAGGTGACAGATGGCAGGTTGTTGTGCTGAAATACCAGTTGCTATGGTCCCCTTTTCCTCTGCGGCTCTTACTCGCCATAGCGAGGCATCCCCTCTGAGGCTGGTGTACTGACTTGGAATAAGCTGACTTGAAACTGCTTAGGTTGTTGTTGACAAACATGAGCCTAGATGAGTCCGCTAATCTCCCTCTCCTTTATTCGCTTTTATTGCCGTATAAACAGGGCTGAATACGCCAAAAATCCAAACCTCTGTTTTCAGTCCGCTCTTATCTGGCGCAGGGTTTAATCTAATGCCCTCTTTCCTTTTTACATCTCTGCCTCTGCTAAACTCGACCATATTTTCGATTCAGCCCGTCCCCATGGCGACCAGTTATTTCCCATCCTTGTGCCCCCTCCGCCAGCTCCTCCACTTCATTGATACTGCTACCTCCCCCTATCCCTTCTTTTTTTTTTTTTTTGTCCACATAAAACAAAGCAGTGAATGAATGTGCTCTGAGGTAGGTAAATGTATTCAGTGACATCAGCCAGGATGAGTCTATTCTGCCGGATTCCTGTACCACTTGTTTCCAGCCTTGTCTGGGGGCTGGACACTCTGTTGGGCCCATTGTCCCACGTGTATTCCACACAGGCCCACAATTAATGGAGGCCTTGTCTAAGGCTTCTGGAGCAGAAACTGCTGTTGGGGAGGGGGACAAAAGGCGGGCAGAGCCAGGGACTGGGAGTTGCTAAGGGAGGCCCCCCTCTTTCCTCCTTTATGAGAGAATTAAAGGAGAGAAGGAGGGACCGAGCGCTGGATGAGATCTTTAAGTGATCCCCTCTGTCTGCACCCTCCCCTCCTGGACTGAGATGTTTTCATACCAGCAGTTGAAAAGGAATCTTTGCTGTATTTGATGATGAGGTTGATCATTTCACTGCCCACATGGGGGGGGGGCAGGGTGGAGGAGGAAGCTGGAGCTTTTAGCCCAGGTGATGATGGAGGTTTGAGGGGGCCGCTGGCACTTGTCCGTAATGTGAAAATACTATCTCCTTCTGACATTTGTTCTGTCTACAATAAATTTCTCCCTAAGTTTCGAGCTGGGTTGGTTCGACTTTCTAACGATAACAAACGATAACAAACAAGGTGTTTATTGATCAGTTAACTAAATGAAAATGTCTTCACATTCAGGAGAAACTGAGGCCATCTTTTTGCAATAAAACTCTACCTGAGGACTCTAATATGGACGCACTGTGAAGGCACAATATTATGGTTGAAAATGCAGCAATGTTCATGTTTGCGTTTATACATTTAGCAGACACTTTTATCCAAAGCAACTTACAAAGTGTGTTATATTTACTTGACATAGAGAGCTTGAAATTTGTATTTTTCTCCGTCTTTATTACTTTTTTATAACCCATTCCCAGATGATAGATAAAATGCCTGATGCTTACATGAGTCCTTGACAATAATCTGAAACACTGAGGACGCAATAAAAAAAAACACATATATGTATATATATACATTTATAAATATATAAAACAAGCAACAGGCATAATTCAAGTTTTTCTTGGGCCTGTTTTCCTTAGCTTGTATTTTTTCTATCTAACAGGGTCCCACATTCTCTTTTTTTTTTTTTTGCTTCCTGAAGCCTCCCATCCAAACGTTCCCACAGTGATAACGATCAGGCCTCTGCTATAAACCTCATGCCTTCTTCACCATCTGCACAATAAAGAGCTGCTTGTCGCATGGCAGCAGGCTCTCTAAATACAGGGCTGATAGGACATAATTTATTGTGCAGTGGCCTCTCATGTGTTGCATAGTGAACTTTCAGGCTATTTCAGGCAGAATCTTGTGTAAATCTGCAGTTAGGAAATAAACTGAGAACTGAACTGTTATCCTCGGAATGTTTGACCAAACTGAGATATTCAGTTTATAACTCGGTTACATTTTGGGGAAGTTGTAATTAAGTTGTATTTTGGGTCAATCTCATATTGGCTGCAGATTCAACTTGATTTAATTTAGCTTAATTCAATATTGACTCAGTTCAAGGAGCCAGTGGTGCCTGAAGTTTGTCTTGTTCCCACAAAGAAGCAGCTGTGGATGCAAACACTGATCTGCTTCTGGGGTCATTTCACCTCTGAGGATTTAAGAGCTTTACAAACAAGTCCATCAAAAAGGATCGAGTTGTCACATACGACACCAGGACCCAGCAGAGATGTCTCAAGTTTGACATGCTGTAAACCCACTGCCTCTGCAGTGGACGTACTTCAGAATATGGGCTCATTTCGGTCAACCAAACTTTTTCTAGACCCTCTAAATCCAATTCATAGTCATGGAGGGGCCGGAGCCCATCCCAGCTGCTGTCGGTTCAGAGGAATGGTACATCCGGGACAGTTTGCCCGTCCATCACAAGGTGAGATTGTTGGACTATGGATGAGTTGGTCAGTTAAGATGTCTGTCATTGTCTTCTGACACACAAGGATTATTAAATAAATATCAAATTAAATAATTGCACTTCAAAACACAACACATTAAAAATTAAGAGGAAAAAACAAACACTGACAGATGTGAGAGTAATGAAAATCTGATTTCAATTAACATTTTTAAACAAATATAAGCCTGCCTCACTTTAAATTAAATTAATTAAAAAAAATATTCTTTATAAAAAAAAAATAAAAAAACTTTATTAACCAAAAATTAAGAGGAAAAACAAAAACTGACTGAATTAAGAGTAAATAAAATCTGTTTTCAATGAACATTTGAAAAGAAATAAAAAAAGACTGCTTCACTTGAAATTCTGCAAGTTTTACGAACACTCTCACACTCTTAACATCAAGCTCTGAAGCTCTCAATTACCCATGACAAACCCAGCCAAACCCAGGCAAACAGAGATGGCCTAACCAGGGAAATAATCCTCAAATATTTGTGATTTTTCTTTTTGTTGTTGTATTTTTACACTGTTTGTTTTGACACTTTAGATGACTAATTTGAAGTCACTCAAATATAAAATGCTATAAATTATGTTATCATGAAGACTATTATTTATTATTATTTATTATTATATATTATTTTGAATATCATTCAAAAATGGTTTATTCAAAGCTTAGGATCACGGGCAATATGTTGTTACACAAAGTCTAGTGAAGAATAAAAAAAAGTCAAACAAATTATGCTGAGACAACCTTTTTTTATTAGGAGTCAATAAACTGAAAAGATTCAATTTAAGAGAAGAACATTTATCATTGTCCATCAGGCTGATTCATGTTTTGACTCTCTCCCAGAAAAACGGGAGACTATCTGTATCTGTTTCAGTTGCGGTCCGTGAACGCAACAGATAACGTGTACACAAACTTTAATGGAGAAAGTTCTCAGCCATCTGGCGACTTTTCGATATCTAAACTTCGCACTAACTTGTCTTCGTGAACGTGTCTGTCAGCGATCTGACAGGTAGCCAATCAGAGCGCCCTGTCGCACGAGCCCGCCGCCTCCGCGGCACCGAGTCCCGCACGCTCATTGGACAGAGAAAGAGAGCCCGAGGAATCTCACACGCGAGCCGCTCGCGTGCAGACCGCGGCTCTTATAAATATAACCACGGGCATTGGGGAACAGGAACGAAAAGTGTGTGCCAGTTTGGCGACGGGACAGGAGTGACTTCTAACATTTGTCGGCAATAAACTATCCTGCGGTCTGCCAGGAGAAGGCGGGACACTCTGCCTCGGTCCCACTTGTTTTTTGTTTTTTTTTGTCGTTGCTCTCAGGAAAGTTTGTTGTCACTGTCCGTGTTCCACTTGTCTGACCGTTAACCCGAAGATGCCAGCCGGAACCTTCGAGAGGACGTCTCCGTCCGCTGTGGCTGCTACTCCGGCCAGTGGCGATTCCACGCTGGAAAAACCTCGGACTATTACAGAGAGCAGAAAAGTATGCATTATATCTGAGTTTCCCCCCCCCATTCTTAAAAAAAATAATTCTGTGAGATACTTATTTTTTATTTAACTTCCTCCTCTTTTTCAAGTCTTCAAAGCCAATTATGGAGAAGCGGAGACGCGCGCGCATCAATGAGAGTCTCTGCCAGCTGAAGGCTCTCATCCTGGACGCTCTCAAGAAAGACGTGAGCAGATATACGATATACCTCATTTATCCATAAAAATGATCACATTTGAAACTTATTTGTAACTCTTGTGTGTGTTTCTGTTTGTGTGTAAAGAGCTCGAGACACTCTAAACTGGAGAAAGCAGACATACTTGAGATGACTGTGAAACACCTCAGAAACATGCAGAGACTTCAGATGACTGGTATGTCTGCAACTTATTCCCATCTCTGGATTTACTGTAAGGTAGCAGACATCAAGTCTGATTTATGTCTTTAGATGGCAAATAGGAGCTTTCTTTTATTTGGTCATATCTAGAAAATACATGTTTTTTCTTTAAATAATTGAATTTCCATCCCTTTTCTGCATTTATTTCTAGTATAATATAATATTATGTAATATATGTACATGTTTTTCTTTAAATAATTGAATTTCCATCCCTTTTATGTGTATATGTGTATGTATATATATATATATATACACACCTACTTTTTTCTTCAGCTGCTGTGAACACAGACCCACTGGTCCTCAGTAAATACCGAGCCGGGTTCAGCGAATGTGTGGGAGAGGTCACCCGCTTCCTGTCCACATGCGAAGGTGTGAACACAGATGTGCGGACTCGTCTCCTCGGCCACCTTGCCGCCTGCGTGACCCAAATGGGCTCAGTGAACTTCTACGGACCTCCCGTGGGCGCCCTTGGACAAACTAGCCCTCAAGTTCCGCTGGTTTCGGCCCAACAGGTGGCCTGCAAAAGCAGCCCGCAGGTGCAAGTGTCCCCAGAGGCTCTGAAGCTGTATGGCGGCTTCCAGGTTGTGCCGTCGCCGGATGGACAGTTTGCCTTCCTCGTTCCCAGTGCGGCTCTCACACCTCTGAGCGCGCAGAGCAGCCATCGTGTTTCCCCTGCGGCGCCTGCCGTCACGTCCGACTCGGTGTGGAGGCCGTGGTAGGAGCTCTGTCAAAAAGACTGTGAGGAAAAAATTAACTCGAAGGCATTTAAACGCATTTTTGTACATTTTGTATATATTTCAAAGATGGCATTGAGAGATTCATTTAGATCCTTTTGTTGTTTTTTTATATTGATATTTTTAAGAGATGTGCGTGGCCTCTTTTCGGCCCCGTAATTTTTTATTTTTCTTACGGAAAAAAATCACAAGCCTTAGTAGGCCGAGAATATCCATGACGAGTTCTTCAAAAGCACTGTATTTTTCTGAGACAAATAAAAGCTTTTTTTATAACCCGTGAAGCATTTCTTGAGCTGACACAACTTCATTTCTGTTCTCCAAAAATGCGACTTCAGACTCAACTCGGTGATGCTTCATTTCCCGCGATTAAAAGTCTCACAAACGAACCGCCCTGGGGTGCGATTTCACTTCTTTTCAGGCCTGTGGGAAAACAGCCAGCTAAACATAACCTCCCAACACCCCCTACCACTGTGTGGCTTGTCCCCACTTGATCGGGCTGTTAAGTGTTTAACAGGGAAATCTGTTTTCTGGCAGGAAATAAGTATCTCTTTAAGGCTATAAGGAACCTGAGAAGATTCTGTGGAGCCCCAGAAGGCACTCTGCCAGCAGAGAAAGGAGGGTGAGTCTGGGGCCTGCAGACACGTGTGGGTCTGTCTTTGCTCCCACCAGACAGGAAGTCATGCTGCAGCAGACAGCGTACGGTTGTGAACTTTTCCTTAGGGTTAAACGAGGACTACAAGGCTAAACGTAATCCGTATATTCTAAGAATGATCTTTCGAGGCCTCCACCTGGAGCGCAGATTGTCCAACCCCTGTCCGCTTTGCGGGTAGTTGAGAGGTTCTCGGTCCCAGCGTGTGTGCCGAGTGTGGCGCTCACTCAGCTGGCCACAAGCCGAGCCTGACCAGAGGTCAGTCACGCTGTCAGCGCAAGAGTGTCAGAGCCTTGATGCTGTGAAGTCTGACAATCCGTCAACAGAACCGTCCGTCACCAAAAGTCAGTCTGATGTAATCACAAATAAAACGTCCAGAGGTAACTGCTCTACTTTAGCAAAACCGGAAACACATATTTTGTTTGTACTGGGGAAGCTTGTCAAGGATCATTATATCAAATCATCCTTGCATTTGACATTAAAACATAAATCTGAGAGTATCTTTTGCTCCCGCGCCACTCCACACACAATTAAGTTTACATCTCTGTTTGCCTCAGCTGAGAGAAGCCCCACAGTCAAGAGGAATAATAGACAAAAATAGAGCTCCCCCCTCCTATCAGAGCATCCTTTGAGAAGACCCCTCTGGAACACAAAAACAAAGACAGGCCCCTCAGTGGCTCAATGGCTCTTCTCTTTGTGACCCTCTCCATCTTTATAAAAGGGCCTTCCTCTTGTTTATCCAGGAAAAGGTTTAATGGCCAGGAGGGGGGTGGACCATGCTGTCACTTTCACCGTGCTAAAGAAGGCTTATTGTGGGTCGCTCCCCAAGGTCCTGGTCTTAAAGGCCTTTTTTTTTTTTTTTTTAAACTCTTCAGGCCGAGCTGAGCTCTTCAGATAAGAAGAGCTGTAAAGTGCTGACAGGTCGCCTATGTGTGTGACGGAGAACCTAAGAGGCTTTGGAAATAGAGACTTCAGCGGGGTATAGCCATTCTTGAGAAAGTTTCTGCTGCTCTTTGGGGCCTGTAACCCCCCCCCCAGCGGCCCTCCCAATCACAAAGCCCCACATTTTCCCCAAACACTGTAAAGCAGGGGGATGACAGACATGCGGCCGAGCCGGACCTGCCCCTCTCCTGCGCTTCCATGATGTATGGCCTCCTCACACAAACACAGGGGCGACACGACGGCAGGTTCCCAGCTCGTGGAGACCGTCTCCCTCTGACACACACCGGAAACCTCCACCGCCTCCATCTCCGCGGATGAATCGCCTCAGTATCATTCTTAGGGTTGTTATGGCACTCGACGAGGGGGGCGAAGTAGTCAGCCGCGGTTCACATCACAGCTAATGAATAGATTATGTGCTCGATATCAATGGTGAATGGACAATGCTCCTTGTCCTTTTCTCCGCAATTCATCCCTGTTTTGATTTAACTTTGTGTTTTTGAACCCCCCTCCCCAAAAAACGCAGCGGTGGAAGAGAAGCTTCCGGGGGAGAATTTAGGATCCAACTGACAGGATAACACTGCGAGGGGAAAATTTATTACTTCGCACCCTACACAGAGAGATGATGGTGTAGATGTTAAAACAGAGTGACTCTGTTAACTATATCAAGTCATTGTGTCTTCAAAGAGGTCGTTGTGTTGGATGTTGGAAGGGGAATGGGGGGTTTTGTTTTTTTCTCCGAAGCTCTTGGCCGTTTGCCCACGAAGGCTCGCAAACACAACGAGGAAGTTACGTTCTCGTAGCAATTGTCCCCTCAGGCTAGACACCGAGAATTATCGATGGCCCTGGTTACAGCCTCTTTAAAAAGCATCTTAATGAAAAGCACCACTTCAAGTTGTGATTGAAGTCGGAACTTTTCTTTAGGCAAGAGAAGCTTTTTCTTCTCCAAGTTAAATGGGGGGATCAGACGGATGTATTTATAAATTGTTTTTAATTGACATGTAGGCCTAAAGAATGTATAAGATCATCTTATTTCTGAGGGTTCATCTTCCCATTTCAGCACATGAACCACAGGAATAACAATGATTACACTGGACCAACCTTGTCATGAGACTCCAAAAAAACTGAAGTCTTTAGAATAAGAAGTGTTTTGTTTTGCTTTGCCTTGTCGTCCTTGTGTTCTGTGTTGCTGAAAATAACCCCAGACTTGCAAAACTCTCCATTATCTTGAATAGAACTGCAACACTGCAAGAATTTCATTTTGATCCCAAATACTTAACAAACAGTTAACTGGTTTCTTTACTTGCTATTTGTGCTGCCATTCTGTTAGCAGACAAGTGGAAAACATTGCGATGTGTCCGACAGCACAATATGGTTGATTCACACCACTTTGAAACATTTTTTCTCCAATCAGGTCCTCTTTGTTTGATTTAGCTTCTTAAACTTCTCCCACCGATGATGCTGCTTGTGAAATAGCCTGCTCAAATAGTCTGTAAAGATAAGATCGTCTGAATGGGAAGAGGGCTGTTTGCCGTTTGCCTTTAGGTTATTTTTCTCCTAGTTGAATCAGATGTGATCAGGAAAAAGAACATGTGAGATGTCACTGCTTTGATATACACATAACTATACTGGGAACCATTATCTTAAATGACCTCTACAGGGATCTTAAGGATTCAGGGGCCGTTGGCTTGTCTTGATATAGATGTTCATTTAAAAAAAAAAAAAGCAAAATCCAAGAAACAAACAAATACAATCATTTGAGTCATAAACAATAAGAACAATTGATCTTTACATACATTAAAAAAATCTCAAACATGGATTAATCCAAGGGGAAAAATCGTTATGTCACACAATTTATTTAAGGTTTGATTTAATATTTTTTCGACATCCTATACTAGAACTGTGGGTCTGTTGGAATGTAAGCATGTCAATCAATTGTCCCAATCCGTGGCTCCAGGAGAGGAACACAATGAAAAAGCATTTCACTGGAAGTATTTCACTGAACCGCAACTTTCGATTCGTACTCAACTGGATTTTTTTTTAATCTCGTACTACCACCAAACAATGACCTCTTCAGAAAGGACTCCTGCAGATGGATACTGGAGTGTGGGAGGTTATTCCACTTGTTTGGTAACAAAAAATGTCGAGGGGTTGCGGTGACTCTTCCCTGAACAAGTCGTTGTCGACAATGAAGAACTGCGCGCTTGCACAATCCAACCTCTCCATCTGGGAGGCTCGACAAAAAAGCAAGGATAGCTTTTCGAGAGCCACGTCCAGCAGGCCACAGTTGTCGATTCATCCTCGATAATTGTAATGTGATGATAAGGAGCTTATAGCCTCTTGTTATCCTCCAATAGGGACGAACAAGACAAAGGGCAGAGAACCAGAATGCTAAAAGATTACCATTATGATGACATCTCCCCGTTCCTCTCAACACCCACATCAGGTCAGCTGTTCTTAATTTGGCCCGCCGCACCAATTTAGCTCAAATCCAGAGGTCTGGGTGCACCGAGGGGTAAATCATGACCCTTGTTTGTAAGCAAGATTCCCATTTGAGTGCGTAAAATGGACTATTTGTGTCCCCGAGATGCTTGGGTCACTGTGTCACTGAGGATGTGCGTAACCCTCTCGTAGGGTGAGAGAGAGGAGCTAATAGACACCTGCCCACACAAAAGCAACTGAAGTTGGTTATCATTTCACGTCCGAATGGACTTGTTTAAACTGAGCCGAGGAAAAACAATGAGCCTGATGGGCGTTTCGCGTAAACGCGACCCTCTGATTTTCAGACTGTGGATCTGAGGAATTACACTTGTATCATTTGTTAGCAAAACCGGATTGTGTCGTTGATGATGAAATCAGCGAGAACACGCATTTAAGTGTATTGGGAAAATTAGTTTAGGTTTCGTCATCAAGAAGTCCTCCCCTTGGGTTCTCGCCTCTGGCACCAAGCCTCGGCTGACCTCTGGTCTTTGTCCTGAGAACCCTGGCCTGCCCTCTCCACCCTCCTGCTCAGTGGCCGCTCTAAACTCTGTGGGAAACCCCCCAGTGCTTTGTGTTGTTTTGGACATTGTTTGTCTCACTAGATAATGTCTCCTCCCCACTGTTTCTCTCCTTTTCGGACGGGAACCCCCCATGCGTGGAGCAGGGTGTCCAGCGCTCAACGTGGGATGGCCAGATGAAGACGTGACCCCCGGGGGGGGGGGGGGTTTTGGCAGCGCATATTCATCCCCCTCCCCAGGACAGTGACGCGCATAGAAAAATGCTGACGAGCTGGTATCAAAGATGACACTTTAGTTTTGCTGCTGTCGAAAACTTGTTCGGAGTACCTCTATATTTCATTTGACTGTCTTCTTTTAAATAGAACAATAATTATACAGCCACAAAATAGTATAATGAATACCTCTAAGATAAACATAATATTCTCAAACCTTGTGACTCTTTAGTTATCTTGATGCGGTAGCGATCATTCATACATATAGTATTTTAACCCTGTAATGCCAAATGTATCATATTTGATACATACGGTTTCTGAAATGTTTTGCGTCTGACACCTTTTGCATAATTTAATGGTAAAAACTTTGCCAAAAATCCTATTGTACACAATCAGATATATAACAGGGGGCAGAAGACTACAAAAAAAAGAATCTTGACTTTTCTCATAGTAATAAATTATTAATATAAAAAATGTATGTCTGTTTTTTCTTTTTACATATTTTGTTAAAAGGGCAAATAAGAAATTCCCCCCCAAAAAAAAGGAATTTTCTGTTTTGTTTTATTCTTGGATCAGGCTTTAAAGGGTTAAAATCGAGAGGTGTAAATTCTAACCTGGTATCTTTCAATTCCGAGGTGTTATCTCAAATCATATGTAAAATACGATTAGATGTTATTATTTTAGTGACTGATCTGACAAGCTTTGAATCTGGAAAAGCATTCGATCATTCTCACTAAGCATCTCAATTTTTTTCAACTAAAGTTTGTTCAGAACGTTGAAAGAGCTTTTAAACGCAATATATGCATATTCAAACATTATCTTATGATGTGAATACCCTAGCTAATATAAGCAGGTAGGTGAAACAATTTCCTAGAGTATTTCTCTAAAGAAAATTTAAGAGCACAGTGAGTCACTGTAATGTTGTATCTGCATTGTAAGTCGCCTTGGATAAAAGCGTTTGCTAAATACAAAAACATAAAATTACAACATTACATAACATCCATGTATCCATCCTGCCAGTCTTTAAAAAAAACACGAAAATAAGTGCGTGCACTATTGGTAGTCAAGTTTTGTTTGCAAAATTTAAGGTAAATAATATCTTTTTAAATGTTTTTTTGTTGAAGTTGCATCAGCTATTAAGTTTCAGGCAAGTGTGATGGGACAGCAAAACTAATCTCTGTGAAGAAAGCATTACAGGATTTACATTCCATGAAATAAGCAAGAGTGACTATACTATATCAGAATCAGAATCAGAAATACATTAATAATCCCAGAGGGAAATTATTATAGTATACTATACTATACTATACTATGTCAATGTCAATGTCAAATTTATTTATATAGCACTTTAAAACAGGCATAGAACTGCACCAAAGTGCTGTACAATAATGATAACAACACAAATTAATAAAACAAGGTATCAAACTAATTCAATTAAATGCCAAGGAATAAAAATGAGTTTTGACAAGAGATTTAAAATGATCCAGGCTGTGGGCAGATCTAATTTGGAAGGGTATATCATTCCAAAGAGAAGGAGCAACAGCGGAAAAAGCCCGATCTCCTTTCCTCTTTAATCGGGTCCGAGGAACTGTCAGCAAAAGCTGATTATTAGAGCGTAGGGTTCTGGACACGGGCTGAAATTTTAAAAGTTCCAGAAGATACGGGGGAGCTAATCCATTTAAGGCTTTATAAGTTAATAAAAGAATCTTAAAATCTATTCGATAAAGAACAGGCAGCCAATGTAAAGAGACCAGTATAGGCCTTATATGGTCGCGCTTCCTGGTACCTGCAAGAAGCCGAGCTGCTGCGTTCTGGATCATTTGGAGTCGCTGCATCTGTGATTTATCCAGACCTCTATATAATGAGTTGCAGTAATCCAAACGAGATGTGATGAAGGCATGGATAAGTCCTTCAAAGTCTTTTAAACAAAAATAAGATTTAACTTTAGCTAAAATACGCAGGTGATAAAAACTTGATCTAACGACAGAGCTAACTTGTTTATCTAGCTTTAAACAACTATCAAACGTAAAACCAAGATTCCTAGCAGAGGTACTATACTCCTAGCAGAGGTACTATACTATACTATACTATACTATACTATACTATATGGTATTTCAGATGGATTATCCTGATATAAATGAAAACATGATACACTACTATCTCAAGATACTAGAGTTTATTTCTTTGACGAGACTCTGAGAATGTGAGTGTCCAATATATTGATGGGTTATTTTCACAACTCCAATGCGTTTGACCACTCATTAGCTAACAACCCCCCACTTTAAATACCTTGTTTACACCAAAGTTCTCGACTAATGAGGATTTGCTCCGGCTTTAGACCATCCCTCCAAATCTTTGGAAATACGACAGTCACCCTATTCTGTCCTGCGAACTGTGATGTCATTCACGATTGAAATGAGTTGCCAATTGACCCCCTGCCATATGACCCTTGTTAACTGTGAGTTAGCATGCTGCATTCAAGGTGTGGCCATCTGTGTGCCTTGTTGTGTTGAGGTCTTTCCTCCTCCCTCGCGCTTTATCATCCCTCCCTGCATTCAGGGGCAGCGTAGGGGTCAGAGGAGGTCCGGTCAGTCACAGGCAACTTTTTAAACCTTCCGATAACAAGGAGCTTCATTCTCGTTATCACCCATGAATAAGAATTGTATCTTTTTTGCCAAATATTATAATAACCAGGTGTAATCATTTAAAATGCTACACAACTTCTCAGAGGAAAATTCTGTACTTTTATTCTCTGACTAGATAATGATGATCATACCAAGGTAAATAAAGATATTCCAGTCATCTGAAATTCTATTCATAAATCTGTAAAGATATTTTTACTGATTGTTCCATCTAAAATCTTTCACGTAAAGATATCAGAGGCTTCTGCTGGAAATGATTTAACAGGCAAAACCTGTCAATAGTGGATAAGCATTGCACCCTCTATTGTTTTTTTTAGCAGTGACCGGATCTTTTAAAAAAAGTAGGGAGTTGAACTTTGAACTGATGAAGGGTCATCCACCCCTGTTATCATTCAGCAGCATTTATTCAGTTCGGGGTTTGTTTACAGTATTGACTAACAGTCAGAACATATCATTGCCTCTTAATGAGAAGAAAGGGGGGAAAACTGATGAATAGTGCTCTTTATCACAGTTTAATTGATACATTTAGAATCTTCTGACACATTTTTCACAACATGCTGCTGGATATTGCCGTTTTCCTCCTGAAACTGTACTTTCACCGTCATTGGAGAGCAGTTTTTCACTCGACACCTGATGATCATGGTGTCGTTGGATGCTTGCAGGGTGCAGGAACTGAGATCAGACTTCTCCTCCTCGGACGGCTGACACACCAGCTCATCCCTGTTTATGGAATATACAGTGCGTTTCCTCAAAAAGTCCGGGCTCTCGCACAGCATCCTCTCCGGCATCTCTAAACTCTGACCATGCTGCAGCACCCAGTCGTGCAGGTACCACATGTGGCAGTCGCATTTCCAGGGGTTCCCATGCAGCCTTAAAACGTGCTGGACGAAAAAAGTGTCTAAAAGGCCTACCGGGAGGTTTTCCAGCTGGTTGTCCGACAGGTAGAGCTTCTGAACGAGCATCTGGTCCGCAAACTGATTTTCGTGCACCTTTCTCAAGCTGTTCTTGTGGAGATTAATAGCTGTGAGTCCCAGAAGATCCTTAAAAATCATTTTGGGCAGATAGCTGAGCTGGTTTTCGGACAAGTCCAGACTATCTAGGGCTGTAAGGTTTCTAAATATGTTTTCTGGAAGGCTGGAAAGCTTGTTAGAAGACAATATGAGGTCAGTAAGTGAGATGAGACTGCTCAAAGATGACAGCTCGGTCAGTCTGTTGCCTTTCAGGTTAAGTTCTTTCAAATTTGAGGTCTCAAACCCAAACACGTTATCACTGAAGGTTGTCAGGAGGTTATTGCAGAGGTTTAGCACCCTCAGTTTTTTCAGCTCAGAGAAGATGGCATCGTCTAGCCGTGCTATCTTGTTCCCCTCCCAATGAAGTTCGGTCAGCTCAGGAATATTTTGGAACGTGTCAGATGAAACATTGCGAATGAGGTTGTAGTTTATTTTCAGAATTTCCAGCTTTTCCAGACCGGAGAAAGTTCCTTTTGTCACCTCTTCAAGTTTATTCATGGACAAGTCCAGGACACGCAGCCTGCTTAGGTTTTGGAAAACAAAAGGAGGAAGTCCTGATATCATGTTGCTCTTCATTTCAAGTGTTTCTAGTTGTTTTAACGAATCAAAAATTCCCGGAAGCGCTGTCCTTAACCCATTGAAGTTGAGTAACAGTTTAGTTAAATGTTTCTGTTTTGAAAATGTTCCAGGAAGTAAATTGTCCAGCCAGGGGTTGCCGCTGATCTCCAGCTCCTGAAGTTCTGTTAAATTCTCAAATGAGTTCAGGTGAATACTGCGCAGAGCATTGTTCATTAAGATTAGCTTGGTGAGTTGTGGGCTTTCCCGTAGGCTGTCTGCGAACAGGTACCCCACAGCTGATGTCATTACAACCAGCTCCTTGACTTGGTTGGACAAATTCCTGGGAATGTACGCCATCCTTTCGTCAGCGCAGAGCACTTGATCAGGTGTGAAGCACTGGCATCTGTCCGGACAAAGGTTTTGCCCGTCACTGTTTCCGTTGTGGAAACAGAAACCCAGAAGCAGCATCAGGAGAGTCAGAAACAAATCTTTGTCCATTTTGTCTGCCGAAACATGAAGACAGCTCACGTGAATTGACCAAAACGAGCGACATCAATTTGATAAACGTGGGGAAACATGCTGTTCACATACACATAAACAGTCATTGTTAGGTTAAAACACATCCATTCCATTTAAAGTCAAAAAGACATCCACATACCGTTGTGTTTGAGGGATCCCACAGCACTGAGACAAATGTCTGTGTGGATCCACAGCAGCTGAGGCAAACTGGAAACAACAACCCTGAATTAGGTAAGACATAAACCTTTGGACAGTGGCCAATTCCTGATTTCGTTTGCTCACACACACAAAAAAAACGTTTCCCTTGAGATAAGTGGGCGGTTTGCTTTAGCAAATGTGTGTCATTGATGGATGAAACAGATAAAAAATAAGCCTCAAGAGAATGTTAGCTTGGAAAACTAAATATTCTTTCTATTATTTTCTCACATTTACCACAACAACAGCTTGTCAGTAATTTTAGCGACAAAAAAAAACCCAAATGTGGAACTTTGAATTTTTTTATTCTATTTTTATGAAAACACACATACACTTTAATTGAATATTTATGGTGAAAATGTTAAACATTTTGGAATGTCAAGACGTTTTGTTGCAGTAGATGTTCGTTCCCACAGGGTGTCACCATTTTCCCTCGGACCTCTGCCAGAGGTGATGGCATTCCTAGACCCACCCTTTCTGGATGACTTTTCCTTGAGGATGTGCCGGTAGACACCTTTGTGTTTGGAGCAGAACCACAGCACAAAACCACCAGGATTAACCAGGATTTTTGAGCACCATAGATCTTTTCTCTGCCCTCTCTGTATTTTTTATTTTTTTAAATCTGTGTTCCATCCTCCTCAGTTTGTGGAATTGAGCAATGGCAAACGCAGGAGTGCAACTTCTTGGCTTTACCTTAGCCTTCATTGGTTTTATCGGCAGCATAGCATCCACGGTTATGGTGGAGTGGAAAGCCTCATCCTATGCAGGGGACAACATCATCACGGCTCAGGCCCTCTATGAGGGCCTCTGGAAGACCTGCGCATCACAGAGCACGGGGCAAATTCAGTGTAAAGTCTATGATTCACTCCTACAACTGCCAGGTAATGCTTCGCCCATTACATTTGACCTTTTTTAAGTCATAGAGGAATTATTACACCATATCTTCTCAATCAAAGTCTAATAGGCTATTTGTAATATGCTTATAACACATTCAAAAGTAAATTGTTCGACAAACTTGTGCATTGACTAAATAAAGGTTATTGGACATTGAATGATGTACAGGCTTCAACAGTTAATCTGTGTCCACGCTGAAGGTTGACTGGCTTGTACAGCACAAAGCGGGTAAAAAGTTGAGACCCATTCAACCCCAGAAGTTATTTGAGCGCCCTGTTTTGTCTGTCCACCTGCGTGCTGAGACACGTTTGTCAAATGCCAGCGGCCGTCTAATCAGGGTGAACCTTTTGGAATAGGGAATGATAAATGAAGAAAAATATAGGATATATAGCTATACACAAGAAGATACAGCTTTTTCAGTGCTGGGTTTTTAACAGTTCGGTGTAGATGTTTTTTTCCTTTTATGAAAACTGACTGCTACCAGACTTCTAAAAAGTGGTTCTCAAAGGAATGTGATAAGTATGTAAGTAAGTATTTTGAACTCAATGGACTCCAGTTTAAAATTTTTTTTTTTTTTGGCCTTTGTAAACGCTTCATAAACACTTTCAACAATAGAAAAAATTGGAATTCCTATGATTGAGTTTCACTTAAAATTTCTACAAAGGAATAAACACAGGTTTTTGTAATTTTTGTTTTTTATATGATTTATTAGAGCAAACAGAAAACAAAGAGTGAAAAACATTTTGGAAAACCCGGGTGCGAAATGCTAAAAAGATTTTAACCATTTTAAAATTTAAGAGCAGTGATTGAAACACAGCATTGAAAACCGATTGAAAACTCAGCAAAACAGGAAATTTAGATGTATTTTAGACTTCCGGTGAAACCTGATTTAACCTAAGTGGGTCCTGTGGCAAAACCGTGTCTCTACAGGCATTGTGCAGGGCACACGCGGACTGATGCTGGGCTCCATCTTACTGAGCTTCATTTCCATACTGGTGGCAGTGGTGGGCATGAGGTGCACTACATGTATGGCTGACCAACCCCAGCAGAAAGACAAAGTGGCTCTGGCTGGTGGTGTTATCTACATTATTTCTGGTGAGAATGCAATTCAGAACGACTGATACAATTCCTAAACATTTTCAATAAAAGATCCATTTGATGAGATTGCTTTATGCCACATCTTGCACGCTGTGTTTGTTTTTTCTATTTTCAAAGAGATTATTTCTGAAAGATCATGCAAAATTTGAATATTTCATATTGAGAGTTGTTTCTGCTCATGATTTTCCAGGGATGCTTGCTTTGGTGGGAACGTCCTGGTATGGCCAAAGAATAGCACGCGACTTCTACGACCCCTTTACTCCAACTAATTCCAGGTAAGGTGGTCCTACTTAGTTATTCAGCATGAAGCCTAAGCTGTCTCTCTGAGCAGATGCATAGTAAGCTGGTGTACACTTGGCAACCAAACTTTCAATCCTTTACCGCCTGTTTCATGTTCCAATTTACCTTCAAACAAACAAAAAAAGTTTAAAATAAAATAAAAAATAGTCTACAAAATGCTGATCAGCCAACTAGCTTGGCATCTTAGCAACTTAAAATATCAAGAAAACTAACATAGACACACACAAGAAGAATTTTCTTTCTACTTTTTTCTCCCGTTTTTAAACACTGAGGTATATTAACATAGACCACTAAAGCAAACTTCCTGACTTTGAGGGTAGGTACTGCGTTTAAGTTTGGTTTAGCGTTTTAGACGAGTAACCCTCAAAAAAATAAAGGTAGTGTTTTACACCAGCAACTAATTCCTATTGATTACCGATTCAAGTTTAAAGTAGAATATAAATCAAACGTTTGAATAATTTGACACACCAATTAAGTTGTCACGATAGATGTACATTTAATACGTTTTATGTTCACTCATGTAGATTTATGATACTGTAAAACGTTGACATAAAGATTTAAATCTTTGTGATGTGTTTTGTTTGCAGGTATGAATTTGGGAGCGCCCTGTACGTCGGTTGGGGGTCTGCCAGTCTAACCATTATTGGTGGCTGTTTCCTTTGCGCCAACTGTTCCGGCCAGACCTCAGTGAAAACTCCTCGTTACCCTGCTTCTAACTCAGGGACCGCTGGCAGGGACTATGTGTAGGAGGATATCTGCTTCTCCAGTCTTTCCTTATTGAAGATTGCTTAATTTTAAAGGTCAATATTTGCAAATCTTTTAGTTTGCAGCCTGTTTATTTGAAGCTGATGTTACCAGTATCTGTGGCGGTTAAAAAAATCCACACATAGAAGCAGTTACGGCATTAAGAAGCATTCAAACCAGCAGTTTAAAACTGATTATTAGTTATTCAAAGTAAGGCCAGTACAATAGATTCAAATGTATACGTAGTCCAATGGTCTACTGCTGTTGGACTAAGGTAATTTTTTGTAAGTGTGGATGTTTGTGTAATTTTACTTTAGCTCCTTTGTGTCATCTTCAATCTTGACCTGATTGTTTTGTATCATATAAAATAAAATTCCTGCTACGTTTCCATGGTGGTGTACCCCCCCCCCCCCCCCCCCAACTCTGTGCATCAAATATTTGAATTCATTATACAAGTGATTTGTTCAGTTAATCAAAAGTAGAATCAAAACAGCATACAGCTCCAGATCTAATCACAAAATTGTCTTTAAAATACAACATTCAAAAAGTCTTTCAAAAGAATGTTGAATATAACTGTAAGATAATGCTCTTTGACTGTACTTTGATTGAAGACTTTGGATGAAAACTATCTGAAAGATGTCTTTTTTTTACAAAAAAAGCAGGCGTAGTGTGCAACAGGACCAGAAATGTGTTGCCTCAGGGGAGACAAAACATATCCAAACACAGAAGGTGAAAACTGTAGAAGCCATTCCTCAGTCTTCCTGTTCCAACACGCCTGTTCACTGAGGAGTTTGTCACAAAAACTGAGTTTCAGAAAACTCATAACAACAAGAACAGCGTCTGTCTCTAATGTAAATTCTCTGGGGATTTTTTAAGTTGCCCGAATGTGTATTCAAAGGTATGTTATGATTGTATAAACTTTGAAATAAAAGAGAGGAATGAAAACCGGTTTGTGTCACTTTCTTAGCTGTGCCAAAACAACTTGTGATGATTCATTTTTTAGGGGCCGCATCCTTACAAACAATCTTTGATGCCAGCGAAGGAGGACAAAAAATAATAAATCCATTTCCAGTTGATCAAACGAACAAATTCCACCACCATTTCACAATTGGGCTTGCTTGGTGAACACGTATGCCCCCTGCAGCATCATCGTGAAGCTGCACAAGGGCAGAAAGACACTCTGCCATGCTCAGTAAGTCAGGGATCTCCAAATCTGGTAATTAAGGATTTCTTTCCTGCAGGTTTTAGATGTTTACCTACTTCAACACACCTTACTTACATCAACGGCAGATTTTAACAGATTCTAACAATATTTTGAAAAGATCTTAGTGGGCAATATTTTAACCACAACCTCACTTTAACTAAGACACCACCGAGGGGTGTTTAAATTCTATATATTGTGTGTTGAAGCAGGTGAACCTCTAAAACCTGCAGGACAGCGGCCCTGGAGGACACCTCTGTTTAAAAACTGCCGGACATTTGGCCAGCGGAGAGATGCCAAGTCTGTATGGTCACTTCCCAGTGAATTTCGGAGTCTTTCTTTTCAGAGTTTGCATGATTTCATGAACAGCTGTGGGTCCTCTCCAGGTAATACCTTCCACCTAACCATGTTGTGGATATTCAACTTGAATTGTGTTATTTTTTTCCCGTACAATGTAGATTTTTCCCCCCACAATAGTATTAAAAAAATGAAGGAAAAAGAAGAGAGTTTTTTCATGGATCCATTTTCATCCTTTTTTGTTTTTTAGTTATTCCCTTGTTTTTATGACGTCTCAGTGCCCTGGTTTATACCAAGGCCCTAAGTTTTTTTGTTCTGAACATTAACTCTTATCCTCATTGTTTAGATTTGTTTCTTCTCATTACCCCTAGATGTCCTCAGCTGCCTTGGTCTTTTTCTCTGGTTTCTTTTACACCTGGATCTACTCAGTCAGCCACAGATACACTTTGTCAGATATATTTTACAGGGGTTTGGCAACCAATGAGATAAAAATCATACCTTAGTTTATCCACATGAGTAACAGTTTGACTTCTCAAAAATTAGAAGAGAGAAAAACATTACAGCCTGTGTGTCAGTGTAGCTAGGGAAACATGCAAGCGCATTATGGGAAGAGCTTTCTTCTTCTTTGCTTGGCAATGAAACCGAATGAACATCTCAAACTTGCATTCTTGTGACAGAGCCCCTATTCTCACATTACAGTTAGATTTCATAACATCAGCCTGAGCCGAATAGACTAGATTAAATTATAATAACTTTTATATAATTTTATAGATTAGGTCTGGAGTAAAAAATTATGTATTATAAATCTACACATAAAACCAAGTACAGTAAAGTCTCCATTTTCAATCCTCAACATCAAGAAAATGTTTAGTTTGCAGACCCTGATTTAAGTCTTCATTGCTGCCCCTGCATAAGCATGGATTCAACAAACAAGTGGGATCTAAATAAATCACCTGGCCATTTAGAATATTCTCTGAAGAACTAGTGAGGGCAAGGTGAATGTATGTAACGTATGTATGTATATAACTTTAGTTTGAATTTGTCCTAATTGTGAATACTGCAATTCATGCTTTAGCCTCTTCTCATTTCCACAATGCTGAGTATATAAGGAGAAGTGCAGAAAATGTGCCTGTGCAGTGTGTGTGTTGGTCAGTCTAACTGGAGATCATGTGACTCTAAATCAAACAAAAAAGGATAATTCACAAACCACTGTGTAGTTTTCATGAATGTGTCTCCTCTAGAGAAATTTTAAAGAATTCAGCTACTTGGATGTCTAGTCACATTCAAAGTGTATAGATTTGTTAACAATCAACAACGTTACTATCATCTGGTTTAATTTTGACAGATTCCTGAAAATAAAGGAAAGACATTCTGATGGGAATGATTAATTCCTTTTGAAGCCTTCTTAGGATTAAAGTAAGAACGGAAGCAACAAATCAAAGTTACCCAATTAAATAAATGTTATTCTGTGTTGTGAAAATGAGCAAATGGAGTCATGCGACTACTTATCTTAAAATATTTTATCCACTTTCATATATTCTGTTGCTCATTTGAAACTCTCAGGTGTTTAAAAAACAAAACAGAAGTGACTTTTTTACTTCCCGAGATGTTGAAACTCAATATGGGTTACAATAAATGTCCACTAGAGGGGACCGTAAGACATGCCATGGATATCTTTATCCTTTTAACTTGTTTGTGCCACTGTGCAATGACAGCAAAGACATCCAGCTCAATATGAACATTTTCAGAAAATATTAATTTGCAAAAACACAAACTTTCCTATTCAAAATCATATTTCTATGACTATTCAACAGGAATCAGACTGTGTAAGGTGACATTGGCAGAGGATCAACTCTGGGCTAAAGAGGTTAAGTGATTTACTCTGAGATTATTTAGACAAGGATCTATCCTCTGATCCAGTGTCAGCATGTCATTAAACAAAAAGGAGTTTTGAACATTTGGTATTCTATTAGATTACACATTAGCATCTAAAAATGTGGAAAGTTCTCATTAACGAATCCACTGAACATCCTTAGTATCACATGAGAAACAACAGAATTTATGAGGACGTTTTGGTGAACTGACAAAAAGAGATCTCATCGTGTAGTTTGCTCTTCTCACTAACAGAGGTCATTCTTTAATAGACTTATCTCAATTAGTGGGTAAACTCTGCTCCTCTGCTTGCTCCCTAACACGTACGCAGATAAGCTGAAAATGCCCGTCGCTGCGTCTTAAACATAAATGTTTGGGATTCTCAGTGCAGTGAGCTAATAGGTAAACAGATTATGCAAACGGTGAATCACAGCGATCTATAACATGGTCTCCCATTTGACCTTTCACCCCACACTGTTTATCTTCACACAGCTCTAAGAATCATTTTAAAGGAATGTAAGCCAAACTCAATCCCAATTACCATGGGACAGCAGCTCCATGCCGAAGTTCAGGGTGAAGTTTGCCATTTTTCTTACATCATATACCGTACAGCAAATAATCCATTAGGCGTAAGCAGCAAAAAAGTTTTTTTTAATACTCTTTCTTTAGCAATTTGAACCGAAGGCTGATGAGGGAGATTAATGGAGCAGCACTTAACTCAGGGTGTTCTCCCCTTTTTCGTCTGGTATTGGATTTGGAGGGGATCCAACTCCTTCCCAAACTGCTGCAATCAGCAGAGTGCGGCTGCCCGACATCACAGAAAAATCAATGAGCGGGAGCAAAATCAAGAGGGGGAAAACAAACTGCTCTTCAGATCATTTCCATCCTTCAGTTAATCCTCGTGCCGTCTTGAATACGACCAGCTGCCTAAATGACATAGAATGATAATAAAGTAAGCACTTACCGATCAGCTAAAAAGTTTTTTATCATACTGCTGTTGTGCATTCAAGTTTTTAGTTAGGTTAGAAATTTGGATGTTAATTTGGCACTATTGCTGGATGAGTTTCTTTTTTCTTTTTTCTTTTTTAAAGCCACAAGAACTGTTTGTGAAATGTGACATATGAGGGATGGGGGTGTCTACAATTGATAGATTTTGACAACTATCTTGGTACATCATGCTTTTTCAACAATACGGTTTCAGAATCAGTGACTCAGTTATGCATTATGACGCAAATATGCACATTATGCAGAAATCACAAGGAATGATTTCTCCAATGTACAATCTCTAAATTGTATTCAAAAGGGACTTTTTCTTCCGGAGAAGTATTTATGCCATTCCGAGTTATATAAAAGATCTTTGTCAACAACTGCTTTAGGCTTTTTTTTTTCTTTTTAGTGGCTTTCTTGCAGGATTTCTCCCTCCTCTGTCCGTCTTTCAGTGTGAGCCTGAGATTGTACTGACTCCTCCACATGCTGAGCCTCTCAGATCAAAATAACCTGATCTGTTAATTGGATTACTCCAGAGCTGTGACACCATGTGGACTGTCCTTAACGCATAGTTTGCGTAGCCAGACGGGGATCGCCATTCTGTGTGTTATTTTAGTTTGACTAAATTAAGTGTCAATATTAATTC